AAAGGTTTGTTTGAATCGTAGCATTTGGCGTTCCATTGTTTCAGCCTACCCTAATGGGAGACAGGCGTGACAGATATGTATGTATGTATTTATTTGAGATATTATGTTAAAAATAATTTATTTTCAGTCCGTAGTCTTATGATTAGTGCCCATTTTTTATTCAACAAAAACGGTGAACAAGTGCATAACCTATTTGATCGTAAAAAGTTACCGTAGGCTATGGATGATCGTAAAAGGTTACCGTAGGCTATGGATACCTACATTACAAGGAGGGTCACGTGCGGGGTGCCGACCCTGTTGATGTTCTCCGTCAAGGACGGATCTGTAGGGATACTCTTGAAATTGAAACCGATCAATCAATATGGGAATTCTGATATTTCGCATACTCGAATTGCAACAGTAACGATATATTGGTCCCTCCATTTTGTATGTGTATTTAATTATATTTAAAAATTGTGTTCCAAAAAAACCAACTTCAGTTGTGGCAAAATTAGTTATTTCGGTTTAAAAATTAAACTCCTGAACCAATTTTGATAAGATCTCTATGGAACCAATCTGTAAGTATATTCTTTCAAATGAGAATTTTCCAAATCGGTTTAGAATCGACGGAGTTTTTTTTTGATGGGTGAAAATGGTATGGTAACCCCGCCTGCGCTAACTGCATACGCTGGCGGAGCACCAGTGAAGGGTGATAGATGAGAATGAAAACAGGCTAGGTAGCCCATCATGATGAATTCATCAGGAATTAACCATGATAGTTTCCAGGGAGAACCGCGTGGAGGTCGACGTGGTTAGGTATATTGCTAGCAATAGGATTCTCAGTCTCCATTACTAACAATCCCTTTCCCCCCGAGTTATGACAAACATTAAAACAAAGTACAACCGAATTGAGAACCTTTTTTTTTTAAATCTGTAAAAAACTAAAATAGTATTGGTTTAATATTGTAATCGGTTTATTGGGTGCTATTGACGCTATTTTGACTGATATGTATTAGTATTGATTATTATGTGATTATTTCTTGTAATTGTTTATATTTATAATAAGTTTACTATTGTAATCTTATGGAGGAAACAATAAAGAGTATCTATCTATCTATATATTGTTTGCTAATGCGAATACAATTGTAACCCAATTTTTAATAGTTACGTTTTATTTCAAGAGTACGGTATAAAATTGACATTGGCAATAGCTTGGATTGTAAACGATATTGAGATTAGAAGTACACTTGAGGTAGTTAACGTAATTGTCCAGCACGTGACTAAAGCCACAGATAACGGCTAGTAACTAATAATAGACATAACAGACAGTCCGAGTATAAATCACAGGCTATAAAAGATTCGCGGAAACGGAAGTGAGGTACAGTTGAACGTGATTGTCGGTCGGTGGACGCTCTGTCCACTAGATTTTTTGTCTTGAAGTACCGTTGTAGGCTCTATTATGAAACGAAAACTATATAAGTGTAGGTTCTTTTTTATATTATGTATTGAGAATGTGAAACAAGTTGTTTGCTATGATGATGAAAGCGATAACTATCACCCATAAACAGGAATAGCACCGAAGACATTTTATACAATTCTGCTCATGATACTTCTATTTGGTTGCTGTTGTCATTCTTGCAGAATAAGACATGCCCCTAGTGATAAAGGTACACCAGAGGGAGACTTTGTACAAAAGTCGATTGCTTGGATACCTCTGTCCCATTCGTGTTTCTACCGTGAAGCAGTTGTGCTTGCATGGCTGTGTTTCAGTTTGAAGGATGGGATATGGCGTGAATTTACTGGATACAGAGGAATAACATCTGAGTCCTCAGGAATGGCAACGCATGGAGGGTATCATGGGCGAAACAGTATACTCTGTTATGTCCATGGTACTTGCTCATGTCTATAGGCGACGGTTACCACTTTTCCTCAGGTGGGCCGTCAGCTTCTTTGCCATTCTAAGTTGTATAAAAAAAAATTAATATTCACAGCAGATTTATGACGGTTATTGTACGTCGAGTTGTTTACAATCCGCCTGCAATGTGGCAACTATTGACAAAACACCTCAAGGGTGGCCTATGTTTAGAAGCGTAAAATTAACTGATATTGTCATTATTGTATGTCGCATTATACGTCGCGTTTATAAATTCAGTTTTTTTTTTTATTTCAAACTTTTTAGAAAAAAAAGCCTAAATAGTAAGTTATAATTTAACACAATTAGATTAAGATTCAGTTACGTTTTTGTATTTTGGTAGGATATCCTAAAAATTATACAGTTGTTGTATTGTTTAAATATATTGGTTTTCATTAATATCTTTTAAAACACTACTGCATATTCTTAAGCCTATTGCCGGTGGGACTAGAACTCTAGAAATGTTATTTATACAGGTTTTAATTTAGGTGAGTGCTAAGAAAGGATATCCTTAAATTCCCACGGGAAAAGGAGATAATGGATCCCGCGGGTAAAGCCGCAATTAGTATTATTAAAAAAAGAGCTATTAAAAATTCACACCACAGCTCGTTGTCTTGTTAAAATCAATCAATTGAAATGCACGACATACAAGCCAGCAGGCTTAAGCCGACGATTAGTACAATAGACAAAACACGACAGTTATATGTACACCATGGTATTTGTAGCCGTGAGACCGTCCGTCTGTCCGTCATACATACGAATAAGGTAAGGCCTCTTTAAAAATGCGGCTGTGATGATGTACTGGGCGACAAGCGGAAAGAATGGCGGATAATGCCATAAACGTATTTTAATGTCTTGTATAAATAATGAGCACAGGTCCTCTGAAGATCGTCTCAAATAATCATGCTATGCTTAGATATAAGATTTTTTTTAAATAGTAATATATTGAATATAGCTTATATCTTTATATACGTATTTTTATTTTATTATACGTATATGTATGTTATATGTATATGAATGTAACATTTTACATTAAATTTAACGTAATTTGTTTCTGCAATTTTAATAGTTGTCATTGTTAATTTTAATTAAGTTGCATCACGAATAATACTGTGTTGACTCGTTTTAGGATAACAATCTAGTCTTATTGCTTGCATCTTTGACAGAACTGCTATAAAACTGGACTAAGTTTTGTAACACTTCTGTCAGTTGTTTTTAAATATGGCAGGAGTAGTGCCTTGAATTTCAGATTATTATAATCTGGCATACCTATCGTGTTTTCTATTTCTATTAATGGACGATTACTACTTTTAATTGTTAGAACAATGTTTGTCATTAATTTTCGACACTATTACTTGTACAAGGGTGGCACCCTCTGGTACCAACAGATGTGTATCTATTGTACGGTTACCATTTTTAGTTCGTGTATGAGGGTGCCCCTCTACTATCAACAGTTTTTTAGACCGCCCTCGTTATATACGATAGACTTTTTTTTTTACTTTTCATGTGACTTATCACATGACTGCTTTACGTGCTTTTCGAAATACAAAGCAAGGGGTAATCATTTTTAAATAATCGCAAACACGGTTTTGAAAAATTCAGACTTTTAGGTCGGATGTTCCGGAATGTAGGTGCATTTATTGGCGTTTTTAAGATTTTCCAGGGGAACTTTTTCGCCCTTTTGAAAAGGCGCATATATCCTGACAGCTTGAACGTTCGCGGGAGAAAATTTCTTTAAAACCGCACTGTACGTGGCCATTTAAGTTCAAGTGTGTGAGGATGAATTCCCTGTCGATGGCGAGTAATGCGAGGATAAAAGGTGGCTTTGGGCATAATTTCAAAGAATTAATTAAAACACAATCCATTATAGAAACGGTAGAACACACAAAGGGTGCCAAAGTCTTACCTTAGACTTAAGGGCTCGATATCGCCTGTGAGCATAGGGTCTTTGCATATAGCAGAAAGACCACTATTTGCTCTTATTCTTGAGCACGCATCAGATAATTTTGGGGTGGGTACAGCCCATCCGGCCTCCTTCAAATATGGGTATGCACAAGTGTTGTCCGATTGAGTAGTCACTGCTCTCCTAAGCTCTTTCTTTTTTTCAATAATATAAGAATTAATTCCAAAACATTGAGTTTGCCATACACGCTCCGCTCGTCACAGTGATGGCAAACCAAGCCCTTCCCATGCTAACAGTCGATGGTTTAAGCTTCATGTAACCCACGCGCGTGACACTTACACATGCGTTTACATATTATCATTGCGGTTTAACTATGTGGGAGCCATTACATGATGGACTTTGGTATACGTTCTTTTTTTAAACAACTTGGTATGGCAAATACGTCTTACTTGAGAGAAAGTGGCAAGGTTTGCTTAAATGAGGCTAGGATTAATAAAACTGTTGTGCTGAGTTTAAACTTTTGGACTGACTTTAAGATTTTTTGTTCAGACAAGCACGTTTGACGCAAATTACTATGTTATGATAGCCAGTACCGCCATCCATGTTCTTGAGAGGATTAATGATAGATGACTGTGGACTAGCGGATCTGTAGGGGTGAAGTGACTAGATAAATCGATAGAGGATTCCCACGTCGACCAGATAGGGATATATAATGAAAAACAATCTTTTAAAACACTTGCACCCTCCTAAACTTTACTCATTTTACTTCGTAAAGACTTACGTGTTAGATAACAAACTTTTTTAATTAGTTCGGGCCCCCGGGATATTTTGATATTTGGGGTGTTTTAACATTTTATATGTACGGAGAGATAAAAGTTGTTTGTTATTAAAAAATAAAATTGGTTCTGTGTGACTCGAGCGACGACCTCAGCGGTACAGAGATAGGTACATTGCTTTGCATCGATAAGGCTCCAAGCTCGATCCACCGTAAGGTATTCTACCTTCAACACCAAGCGATTCTTGTAACTTTGTTGCACTTATTATAGTATCAAAATTGTTAGTTGGATCATCAGATTATTTGCTACTTCCTTTTGTATCAAATTATTTAATTTTGCTATAGTATTTTTCCCTTTCCCATAATCTTTGTTAGTGTATCCTTAGTAACCTAATTTTTTTTATATTAATTACATTTTATTACATTTCCAGATGCACGGTTGTGCTGTACAACGTCAGAAAGAACAGACAGTCGCACGTGTTGAACGCGTCCCGCAAGAGTGTGACGTGCGTTGCGTTCTCCCCGGACGGGCGGTACCTAGCGACCGGGGAGTGTGGACACGCGCCCGCTGTGCGGGTGTGGGATCTACACGTGAGAGACTTTATTGATTAGCAAACGCTGTGTTACCTGGCAATATAAAAAAGGAAGCAATCATGCATTAATAATTTTAGTTTCTATTACAAAAAAAGACTTCAATAGCGATGAATATGCGGTCAACAGAGGAGTAAATGCTATCGGTTACTAAAAGGATTATCAGAATTGGTTCTCAATTTGTGAAAAGGTACATGTGATATTCAAATGTACAGTTAAATTGATTGTTTGACTTTTTATAGTTGCCGAAGAATGACTGTCCACTTTGAAAATTTAAATCATAAAACAAGTTGTTGTAATAATGTAATAAATTGTAAAAATTTTCATTCATTTTAAAAAATTGAAGCGCATTAAACCATTGACGCCACCTAGTGGCGAGTAATGAGTATTATTATTTTATAGTTATAAATATATAGCGCCATCTATTGCCTAATAGCTGATTTGAAACTAAAATATATATTTTCGTAATTCCATAAAAAAGTGTCGATCTATATGTTACGGACCTTTATTTTCTAAATAAAATATTTGAATTTATAAATAAATATGTAAAACCGTGCTTTGAAAATGAAGAAAAGTAGTGACATTTAATTTTTTTGTACTTAAATTTTTGTGCCTAATTTACGTATATTGCGTTTTCAGGACCCAACCGCATCTGGTGCCGTGCAGATAGCAGAGTTCCCAGGACACACACATGGTGTCAGTTGTGTGGTGAGTCCTATATTTACTCAACTATTCAAGAAGGAAATTGTAGTTCAATTTGTCTTAATTCCTGTGCACAGTTCCAAATTCACCCTTTTTCAAATTCCCAACTGACTTCAAAAATAAAGGAGGTTCTCAATTCTGTTGCATTTTTTTATGTTTGTTACATCATAACTCTGTCAGTTCTAAAACGATTTGGATATTTTTTTATCTGAAAGGATATACATACAGATTGGTCCCATAGAAATTTTATCAAAATGGGTTCAGTACTTTAATTTTTCGAGCATAATAACTGGTTTCGTCAGAATTACAGTTGGTCTTTTTTGTAGGACACGATCTTTAATTATTATACATGAGAATGGAGTAGTAAATCCGCTTGTGCTATTGCTTTATGTTGGCTGGGTACTATTGAAGAAATATACATGATTAGAAACTAGTTAGTTGACCATATTCTGGGTGGTGGTCTTCATGATGAGCCAACTGCCCTGCATTCATCATCACCTATTGTCTCTCATTGGTGCCTCGCCAGCGTATACCAATACCGCAGGCGGGGTTACTATTCTATTTTCACTCATTAAAAAAACCTATTGTGATCTAGTGAGAGAGATATCTTATTAAAAAATAATTAACTTCTAAATTGCTAGCATTCTCCATTGCAATATAACCGTAGAAGTAATGGAAAATTATTAGCAAAGCTAACACCAAAAAATTACTTTCCAATTATTCATCATGTCTTTTTTATACCACTGAGGTGACAATCAAGTATACGGCTCACCTGATGCAATATTAGGGGCATTATGCGCGCGTTGCCTACCTCGAAGAAAGCTCTTTAATCTTTTTTAAAAGTACATCATGCTACGTTGAAAAAACTTTCTTTTTCATTTCCTATTTATTATATTTTCAGGCATTTTCGACATCATCGAAGTATCTAGTGTCAGTCGGGTCGCAACATGACATGATAGTCAACGTGTGGGATTGGCGTGCCAACCTTAAACTAGCTAGTAACAAGGTAAATTGTTAAATTGTTATGTATTATTGTTTTCAACCGACTTTACAAAGCAGGAGGAGCAATTTGGTTGTATTTTTATTCAGTGAAATGAGATTATTTGCAAAAAACAATCATAAAATTATGAACATAGGCCATGTAGTATTAAGTTTGGCATATGTTTAATTGTCTTAAGCCATGTAGGCATGCAAATGTTTATCTATATTTTCTTCTATCTACGAGTATATCTATACTTATAATAAATCTGTAGAGAGGTCAATTCTGTACATGAAATATATTTCCAAAATAACTATCAGGGGGTGATTAGTGGTCGATACTGATGCCAAAAATGCAATCAGTAAAATTTTTGTCTGTCTGTATGTTCATTAGAGAAACAAAAACTACTCCACGGATTTTAACGAAACTTGCTACAATTATTCTTCATACTCCTGGGCAGGTTATAGTATACTTTTCATCGCGCTACGATCAATAGGAGCAGTGCAGTGAAGGGAAATGTGTCTGTTATATCAAAACCACTGTACCGTGAGGAAGGACATAGAAGTATCCTATTTTACGAAAAACAACGGAAATGCGGACGAAGTCGCGGGCAACAGCTGGTATTTGAAAAAATACGGCAAAAAATAAAACTATGATACAATTTTATATTATTTGAATTTATAATTAAAAATAAAACTATGATACAATTTTATTATTATTTGGAAAATTCTTATATTATCTGATAGGATATACTTATAGATTGTTTTCATATAAATTTTATTAAAATCGGTTCAATTGTATAGTTTTTAAATGAAAATAACTGTTTTGTCACAGTTGAAGTAGATTTTTTTTGGATAAAATCTTTAATTTTATTTATTAATTATTATAATGTTGTTCTCTTGTTTGTTGTTTAAAGTACAGAAATTATGTTAGAATTTATTTATTTTAATATTATAAAGGCACAGATAATGGACATTTTTAGTATATTATTTTTCGTCGCTTAGCATTCATTGTCAGGGGAACATTAGCTTCTTTGGGATATCCTGTAATAAATATGTTTCTCGTTACAGGTTTCGTCTCGAGTGAAGGCAGTAAGTTTCTCTGAGAATGGAAACTACTTCGTCACAGTTGGATTTAGGCACGTCAAGTTCTGGTATCTGGAGTACTCCAGGAATGCTAAGGTAATATAAAAGAATAGTTTTCACCATGTTGTTCAGAAACAATTGTTAACAAAATTTATTCCATATTAAAAATATCACTATTAGTATTATAACTATGTCTGTGTGCCAGCATCTGTCTCGGTGGTGCTGTCTGTTCCGATTTGATTACTAAATTTCGATATATCTCTCTTTACAGTACATAATTAACTTTTGCAGCTTAAGTACTTCCGCAAATAATTAACCACCTTTTACATACGTGTATAACCGGTGGCTACATTGTTACATTGTTTATATTTATAGGCGACGGTAACTATTTTCAATCAGATGGGCCATCAGCTTCTTTGTCATTCTAAATAAAAAAAAAATAGAATTGGATCTTAACGATTAGGTTATCGCAGCAAATGATTTAATGTATATTTATTAATTGATTCACAGTTCAAAGAGCCAGTGCCGTTGATGGGCCGGTCGGCGATCCTAGGCGAGCAGAAGGACAACGAGTTCTGCGACGTGGTGTGCGGGCGCGGCGCGGCCGCGGACAGCACGTACGCGATCACGCGCGGTGGTCTGCTGTGCGAGTTCAACGGGCGACGTCTGCTCGACAAATGGGTCGAGTTAAGGGTCAGTACGAGATCCGGTTTTTTTACGAGATGAAAATGTGTTGGCAACTCATTTTCATCTCGTTATATGGGAATTAATCTACATATATACATATACAGTATAATCCATAAATGCGAGCGACCGAAAAGGGGATTTTTCTCCTGGCTTACGAAGTGCTTTTTCACGCTATGCTTGAAAATTATGAAGGATAAGAACAAGATCACCATTCATCTATATTGTAAATGTGGTATACATATCTTATCCTATGTAAAATGGCCCAATTGTTTTCTTTCCCGAATGTTATACATTGTTAAATTTTGAACTCTATTTTTGTGAATACAATACTAAAGAGACATTTGGTGTAATGATTATTTTATTTGTAAATGTATTTCTCAGACGACGTCTGCCAACTGCATGGCGATCGGCAACGAGTACATCTTCGTGGGGTGCGCGGAGGGCATCGTGCGTTGCTTCTCGCCGAGCGCGCTGCAGTACATCACCACGCTGCCGCGCACGCACTACCTCGGCGTCGACGTCGCTCAGGGCTCCTCCATCAGGTGCGACCACCTCCTCCTCTCATATCTTAAGGAGTACTGAAGTTTACCAAAGTGTGCCAACGTCGGAATAATCTGTCAAATGGCCTTTACTCACGATTTAGTTTACATGATAGGGATATATTCGTTAATCGGGATGTTTCTATGCCTTTCTCCCTCCGACATGGTATGTATATACCAAATTTCATTACGTTTGGATAAGCAGTTGAGGTGCTGAGATGTTACAAATAAACTCACTTTTATAATGTTAATAAGGCAGTAAGTATTATACAAAACAAATGTTTGTAACCGACTTCAAGAAGAAGTAGGATTTCGATTCAGTTGTATTTTTTTATGTTTGTTATAATTATAAGGATAATTCCGTCAGTTATGATCCGATTCGGAACATTAATTTTTTCTTATCTAAAGGGACACTTTAACAGATTGGTCCTATAGAAATTGTGTCCAAATCCATTCAAAATTCCGTTTTAAAATGAAATTAACTGGTTGTGCCACAATTGAAGTCGGTTTTTTTTTGTAGAACACAGTCTTTATTTACTATTTTTGATTGATTTTTTAAAAAGTGCTTTCTCTGTGACCTTTCATAATTCACACTATACCTGAATTTATATATCTCAAATAAAACCTTGTACCTTCTAAAATTATTTATTACTGTGACTGACTATGTTAGTAATACCTAAGTGAAATGATAACTGATCTCAATAGATTATTATCTAAACTATAAAATCTAATTGAAACATTATAAAATCATTTTCGTCATCATAATCTAATCTATATATCATTGAAAAATATTTTGATATTGAAAGTGCGTCACTAGCTTAATGAAACGAAAGATAACGATAATGTGTTAACTATCTCCTTAAGAAAAAAACAATACTTATTGTACCGTACATTTTATGAAAGTTTCTGTTTCACAAATCCGGTTTTTTTTTTATTATTATATTAATACTTTAACCAGCCATATGGTCCCAGCATGGAATGGGCCACCTCTTCTTTTTCCGCGGGTGCCATAAGAGGTTACTAACGGAATTTAATGGTCGAGGGATGGGCAACAGGATCCCTCTTAAAACATCAGACAAAGCCTGACTGTATTTGCTAACTCGCCTGCCAAGCTCCTAGGCCTATGTTCGGGAGTGGACAGTTAATGACTAATATGATGATGATGATGATTATTATTATATTAATACTGGCTTTTTACTCACTACTCCGTACTCATGAATTTTAGAAGTAGATAAAATAATTAAATATACCTCTAGATGATGTATTAAGATAAAATATATATCACTTTTTAAGTTAGCACTTCAGAATATAAAAGCCACATCCAATATGGTGCTTTAGCAAGTAAGCAAGGTGTAGCTTTTGCAAGCTATTGCACCACATTGGATGTTGAACTTCACTAGATTATCTAGACAAAACTTGTAAAAAAATATTATTTTAGCTTCTATTGCTCTTATGAAGACCCCTCATATATATATATTTTTTTTAAATATCTCCATGTACAGATGTCATCTATTTACAATTCTATTATATTAATAAGATGTTCCTATTGTTTCTTCCAGCCATATGTTCACACAGCCCCAAAACGCGCGGTATCCAGACGCAGTGGCGTTAACATACGACGAGAGGAACCACAAGCTCACGTGTGTGTACAACGACCACAGTTTATATGTGTGGGACGTCAGAGATATCAAAAGGGTGAGTTAAAGACTTGGCCAGTTTCAAAGTTCATTTCTAAAATATACCTACTTAATTGTGAAGACAATTAACCTTTATATACCTAATTGAGAATTAAGTTTATTATTTTATGAAATTGTTGAAATTTCTATAACAAGGAATACAGATTGAAATGTGTTTTTTTTTTAACCTTGGATATATTACACATCACTATTTAGTCTCAAAATAAGCAGAACTTGTACTATAAGTATAAAGCAACTAGTGGTAATACTTAAATATAGTGTAAACTCTATCCTTTTTCTTTGAACTTGACCGTGTACAGACACGGTCCCACGTGTCTCGATACTGTCTGATTTAATAATAACTCATAACATTTACAAATAAATATTAATACAAATAGCGACCCATTATGGCGTAAAATTTTTTGTGACGCCAATATTTTAACAGTATGAACTTAATTTTCATATTAATTCCAACTTATGTTTCTTAGATAAAGTTGTGAATTAAATGATCACTGTGTTTATAGTTATGTCTATTATTATATATCCCTTTACAACCTGTACATATGTATTGTATTGACCTTTGACATGTATGCAGGTAGGCAAATGTCACTCGGCGTTGTATCACTCGGCGTGCATATGGGGCGTGGATGTGGCCCCGAGCGGCGGGCCACTGCCGCCGGGCACTTTCCTCACATGCTCGAGCGATGATACCGTCCGAGCATGGAACCTCTCTGCAGCTTCCAACATCTACAGCAACGTGAGTCCTATTCCTTTCTTATATATTTTTATTTACCTTGGACAAGTGGCAAACGAATCTGTCGACGGATATGTTATTGTTACTAACATGCATGAAATAGAACGAGATAAATAAATAAATAGATTGAGACAACGGTGTCTATATATTTTTTATATTATATATATTTCATATTTTTAGTATGTGTTAAGAGTATTTGATATTTTTCCTATTTTAAATAAGACGTTACTTGTCTCTCAGGAGCTTATTCAAAATTATTATTGTATAATATTAAGTGTCTTTGCTGTGTTGTGAAAGAATTTTTATTTTGCTGAATAATTCATATTCAGTTAAGTAATTAAAAAAGTTTTAAGAATTATGAACTATGTTTATTTACATATGTAACGTGAAATTAATGAATTCACTGAGAAAACGACAAAAACACAGTTGGTTCATTAATTTCCCTTATATGTGTATATAGACATTGAATAAAAAATGAACATACGTTTTAAAAATAATTATAAACTATTTTTGTTTTCTAATATTTTTTTTTTTTTTTTTTTTTTTTTTTTTTTTTTTTTTTTTTTTTATGCAACTTAGAATGACAAACAAGCTGACGGCCCACCTGATGGAAAGTGGTAACCGTCGCCTATAGACATGAGCAGTACCATGGACATAGCAGACTATACTGTTTCACCCATGATACCCCCCATGGGTTGCCATTCCTGAGGACTCAGGTGTTATTCCTCTGTACCCTGTAAATTCACGCCATATCCCACCCTTCAAACCGAAACACAGTCATGCAAACACAACTGCTTCACGGTTGAAACACGAATGGGACAGAGGTGCCCAAGCAATCGACTTTTGTACAAAGTCTCCCTCTGGTAATATATACATAATACCGTTTTCCAGTTTAGGAACGAAGTCTGATATCTGAAATTGGCTTGCATTTTTTTATACAACTTAGAATGGCAAACAAGCTGACGGCCCACCTGATGGATAGTGGTAACCGTCGCCTATAGACATGAGCAGTACCATTGACATAACAGAGTATACTGTTTCGCTCATGATACCCCCCATTCGTTGCCAAATATAATACACTCTGTCTATATGTACCATGGACATTGTATGTTCAATGTTAGTCAAATTATAAAAGTGAAAGAAGTAAAAGATGAATATTTTCGTATTCAGGAGCTGACGAAAGTGATATACGTCGACCCTGAATTAAAGTTCCTGAAGGATGTGGACCTGACAGCCACCAGTGATAAAGACAAGTCGAAATCCTATGACGATAAGACTGGAGTCAGGTATGTTGCATCATATTTTTCGTATACTATATTCTTTTAACTTCTGTCCATACGTTGGTATCCTCTCATGAAAGTGTCAAGGAGTAGTTATATTTTATAGCAATGTAGAATAGAAACAATATTCTTCTTAATGACTGCCATTCCGTATGCTGAGTTTTGTTGATGAGAAGAATGCATGAAACTCGGCAGTTGTTCCATACCTCGAAAGGAAAACGGAACTATTATAGGATCATTTAATTATATGTCAGTTTGTCTGTCTGTCTGTCAAGACGATTTGTCGGTTTTTTTCTTATTGGTATTAAAATTATTCTATCTTTCAAGTTGGGACAAACAATATACATTTCAAATTGTTATTAAAGTCGGTTGGATGGTTTCAGAGGTTAGCCTGTAAGAACATCGTAACATGGGACTTTTATGTATTAAGAAATTCATGTTGCAATAAACAATGGTTCTGAGGTATGATATCTATATCATACTCTTAGATTATATAGATATAGTGCCTCCATACAAATGCTTCGAGAAAAGGGAGTCAACTTTTCCATACAATTTTACTGGATAAATAGTTATAATTGATTCTTTTATAACTTCTATATTTATTTTGTCGTATAATTTTTACATCTTTTTAATGAGTAAAAACTCATTTATTAAATATAGATCCGTCAAGATACATTATGTGCGTAAATATATAGAACACTGATAAAAAAATGAGTCAGCTTATTTGATAGTTAACTGACAAAAAGTCAGGCCGTTTTTTAAGACTTGAGGCTCCAACTATATAATCTAAGATTGTACTATAATCTTTTTACATATAAAATATATAATGTACTCGTAGGTGCGTCCGCGTGTCCCCGGACGGCGCCCACGTGGCGGCGGGCGACCGCGCCGGCAACGTACACGTGCACCGCGCCGGCGGCGGCGGCGGCCCGCTGCATACGCTCGAAGCCCACGACGCTGAAGTCCTTTGTCTCGAGTACTCGGCGCGTCCGCGGCTGCTCGCCTCCGCCTCCAGGGATCGTCTCATACACGTCTTCCGGGTCGACCAGGTATCTCTCATATTATATCCAGGTTATCCCAAGCTGTTTGTAAGAGATTGCTTTTAGCGATAAAGCTGCCTTTTGTATATGCACTTCATTTATAAATACTCCTTGTATACGTTTCTATTGTGCACTATAGTTTATTGTTATTAATGTATCATTGTGCTTCCGATCAAACAGTTTATAACTATTGCTCTCCGGGGGGAAAGGGATTGTTAGTAATGGAGACTGGGAATCCCATTGCTAGCAATATACTCAACCAGGTCGACCTCCTCGCGATTCCCCCTGGAAACTGTCATGGTTGGTTCCTGACAAATTCGTCATGATGGGCTGACTGGCCTGTTTTCATTTTCATTTGTCGCCCTTCACTGGTGCTCCGCCAGCGTATCCCGTTATCGCAGGCGGGGTTACTATACCATTTTTACCCACAAAAAAAAACTGCTCTCCACTCAAAAGTTGCTTAGAAGAGTCTGCTTTTGGTGATAAGGTCGTGAACTGTTTTCTCAGTGTGATCATTTCTTGTTATTGTTTGTATCTATAATAAGTTTACTACTGTAATGTTTTGGAGGAAACAAAGAGTATCTATCTATTATTAATTTATATGGAATTGCAAAGGGTTTAACTGCCCACCTGATGTAAAGGTAAACGTCGTCTGTACACACGAATAGCACAGAATATACAGTGAAGCCCATGATACTCTTATTTTGCCATTCCTGACGACCAAGTCATTGTCTGGTATAACACTGCTCATATCCCATCCTTTAAAACGAAACATTTTTCATTTAATATTTTTTGTCGCCATTTATATCTCCCAATGTCACATATACTACCTTAAATTACTTACAATTCTAATAAATCTTAAAAATTCATCAATTATTTCCAGGGTTATCAAATAATGCAAACTCTTGATGACCACTCGTCGTCAATAACCGCGGTTCGATTCCTGAGCACGAACAGGCAGCTGCAGATGGTGTCTTGTGGAGCGGATAAGACGATACTCTTCCGACAGATACGAACGGTCAGTATTACATATTATATGCAGTTAAGAGATAATTTTGACATTAGTATAAGTCGATTGCTTGGGTACCTCTGTCCCATTCGTGTTTCAACCGTGAAGCAGTTATGTTTGCATGACTGTGTTTCAGTTTGAAGGATGGAATATGGCGTGAATTTACTGGGTACAGAGGAATAACACCTGAGTCCTCAGGAATGGCAACGCATGGGAGGTATCATGGGCGAAACAGTATACTCTGTTATGTCCATGGTACTGCTCATGTCTATAGGCGACGGTTACCACTTTCCATCAGGTGGGCCGTCAGCTTGTTTGCCATTCTAAGTTGTATTGTATAAAACACCACTGCAATTTAAGAATAAAAAAATTATAATTGATCGTCTTCTTGTTTATCTATATATTCCTTATCTGCTTTTAAAAATTGTCAATCATAAAATACGTTTCTTGCTAATCCACGTCATTTATATCATTTTAGAATCCAGATGGCAGTTATCAATTTGCCCGTGGTCAGAACGTGTCTGGTCGAACCACGCTGTACGACATGGAGGTGGATGCGGGCGGCAGGCATATACTTACCGCTTGCCAGGTTAGTGGGCTTATTTGAATATAAAAAGTAAAATACGTATTATTTTTATTTATTTATTTATTTATTTATTCATTAGTACAAATATGTGTACATGGCGGACTTAATGCTAAAAGCATTCTCTCCCAGTCAACCATAGGGAAGTGTCAGAATACTTGAATGCGGCACTACTAATTATTGATATACATACATAGTAAAATTACATATATAAACGAATAAATATATATTAATAACAAATATACTTACACATATATGATATATACTATATTATACACGAAATTGAGAATAATATACTGGTCGGATAAAGATAAAAAGTGAGCGTGAATTATTTTGAATTATTTATATATATATTTTTTTTATCTGAATGGCTGGTTTCAGTGACTGGTTAATAAATATAATAGTACCCAAAAACATTCCGTTAATTCGTTATAGTGCCTTTTTTAAATAATATGATTAATTACTTAATTGTGAATTAAACACGTCTTAATTTTATATAAAACTGGACATAAAAGGTTGTTGAAACTAATAACGATTAGTGTATTATAAAAGAATGTTGTGTTTAGGACCGCAACGTCCGCGTGTACAGTGCGGCTCAGGGTCGTCACACCAAGACCTTCCGTGGAACCACCGCTGAGGACGGCACACTTATCAAGGTCTAATATTCTTATTATTTATATTTCTTATTGTCTTTTTATATTTATTATAATTTATATGCTAGCAGTAATATCGCCATACTAGATTTTTTTATACAACTTAGAATGGCAAACAAGCTGACGGTCCACCTGATGGAAAGTGGTAACCGTCGCCTATAGACATGAGCAGTACCATGGACATAACAGAGTATACTGTTTCGCCCATGATACCCCCCATGCGTTGCCATTCCTGAGGACTCAGATGTTATTCCTCTGTACCCAGCTATCCTGCTATGAACCAGTAATGCATGTGTTGTTATTTTTCGGTCTGTTTCATACCGCTCCTTCTGTGGCAACCCTAAATGGTTAATAGTATTTACCAATCGAATTTGAAATGTGAGCAAATCAAGTATCAAGTGTTCAAGATTCTTATCTTGAACACTTGATATTTGATTTGCGAAATTTATAGACGAAACAACAAGCGAAATTTTGATATTCAATCCAATATTATAGAGGGTATTAATTAGTTGTAAGTTTTTAAATATATTCCAAGTTTAAATAACTTAATTTTTATAACACCAGGTGGCGTTAGATAGCAGCGGTATATACCTGGCAACATCCAGCACGGACAAGATACTGAGCGTCTATGATTATTATTCTGGCGAGTGCATGGCGACTATGTACGGTCATTCGGAAATTGTCACTGGTCTCAGGTTTGTTTATTTTTTTCATATGAGTCTATCATTATATGTTAATAGTTCCATGTTAATGTATTAATACGCAAAAGTCAGTATCACTTATTATTTAATCCATTAATGCTATCATTAAATTTTTTTATATTTTAATGATATGAATGATGCTTTTTTTTATATAGAGACTCGGGTGTTATTCTTCTGTACCCTGTAAATTCACTGCCACATCCCACCCTTCTCAACCGAAACCCAGTCATGCAAACACAACTACTTCACAGTAGAAACATGAATGGGACAAAGGTATCCAAGCAAACGACTTTTGTACAAAGTCTCCCTCTGGTTTGTTATTTAAAGGAATGAAACCATGTTGTAGTGGTGGTTCTGGTTGTTTTGTTATAGAATGACTGATGTTTAATGACCGCTTACATTGTGACGTTAATTACTTTATTCTAGGTTCACGCCGGACTGCCAGCACCTGGTGTCGGCGTCGGGAGACGGCTGCATCTTCGTGTGGCGGGTGCCGCACGACATGGTGGTCACTATGCGGGCGCGGCTCGCGCAGCAAGCCATCCGCCAGGGCAAGTTAGTAACCATTTTTTTTTCTATTAAAAACGCTCTTAATGAAAAGTGGTTTTAGTTACAATATTATGTATGCTGTAACTATAACAAATTTTAATTTCTATTATATTTATTTTCATGTACTGTATGAATTTTATTGTACGTACCTATTATGACATTAAAATACAAATTATTGTTTATAAATAAATAAAATAAAAAAAAATATATATTTTTATTGTGTATTTATGTATACTCATATATATATATATATATATATATATATATATATATATATATATATATATATATATATATATATATAATATAAAATAATATTGAATTGACAGCCTTTTAACATATTCGAAAATAAATATCCGACTGATAATCCGACTGATATCGATATGAGTGATGGCCTTTTTCCACCATCAATGCTCAGAGAAACCCAATATATAGATATCGGATCGGTATCAATACTATTCATGCCCACTCATTATGTACATTATTGTATGATTTGTGTCAATGTAAATAGAAACATCTGTAAATATTTACCCATACTAATTCAATAATTATTACTATGAATAAATAAATATAATCATATTTATTTCCTATGTGGAAATGTTGTTTGTTAAGTATTGCAGCATATCTTAAATGTTAAAGATTTTAAATGTATTTGAAAAACAATTGCGGTGTCCATATTATGAAGTTCTTTTATATTTTTAAGTCTGAAGTATTTCAAAGATATACTTAAATAATTTATATAATTAATAACTTTGTCCAGAAAAGTATCAGCGCCAACTAACGGTATGTCGGCATTGGACAGCGAGAGTGATTCCCATTTCGGATCTCCGCCACGTGACCTTCCCGATCAAACACAGTACGGCACTCCCATCGTTCCGGACTACACGTGAGTTTTATGAAATACTTACTTTTTTTTTTTATTTTATATTTAAATGTATTAGTAAATGATACAAATGAATACTAACTTTTTGCGCTATTGTGAAGTATTAACGCTATCAATAAAGCAGTTTCATATATGAATTACTTATTTAATGTAGACAAAAGAGATAAGTATGGAAAATAATTTTCTGTTCAAATCATATTTTTTGTTTATAACACGAAAATTGGACGCCTCCGCTCTTAGTATTTGCAGGGTATTAGAGAATGATGAAGTCAGATTAGTCGTGATGAATTCATTTAAGTATCAACCATCGTGGTTTCCAGGGGGAAACTTTTGGAGGCTGCAAACCATAGTATTCGAGTGACCGTTGACATGCAAGGTCTTTTTTTAATGGATGATAATGGAATGGCAATCCTGTGAGCGTTAACGGAATATCGTATACTGGTGCCCCGCACTTGCGGGGCACCTACGAGAGATGACAGGTGAGAATGAAAAGGCCAGTCAGCCCACTGTGATGAATACACCTGGGATTCAGCACGATGGTTTCCAAGGGAGACCAAGTGAAGGTCGACTTGACAGGGTATATTTTTACCACATTACTAACAATCCTTTCCCCCAGATATGTCGAGGTCATTGATGTTTCCAATTGATATTTTGCATGCATCTTATATTGAATTGTTGCCAGGCTCCGCATCGGGAAGCTGCCGACGTGGGCTAAAAAGAGTTTAGGGGACTCGCTGCCGACTGCGCCGCCCACGCCGGCCGCCGCCGCGCCGCCCGCGCACCCGCCCCGCGGCAAGTGGGCCACCAGGGTGCAGCCCGGTAATTACTTCATCCTATACTTTATTCTTTTTTTTAATCTTTAAGGGTTTTTACCTACTTCAGGTATATCAGTCCTATCGTACCTTGAACTGATTTCTCAGATAAGATTTTATTTAGTTTATAAACTAATGGAAAGAGAGAAATTAATGGGCATCAATAATTTACAGAGATGTTAAAACATTTGTGATTTGGGTTCAGGTATTCATTTGTGTACAGCGTCATCTAGTTGCCTTTTAACATAAATGCAAGTCACAATTAATAGATCACTAGATGGAGCTGTAAATAATTGTATATTTTAGTAGCTTGAAATTACTACTTATCAATTTCAAAATTTCAACCGACTTTAAAAATAAGTTCTCAATTCACTTGTATTTTTTATATGTTTGTTACATCATAACTCCGTCAGTTATAACTCTACTTGGAAAATTCAATTTTTAACTGAAAGGATATACTTACAGATTGGTTCCGTACAAATTTTATCAAAATCGGTTAAGTAGTTTAATTTTGAATTCAGAATAACTTGTTCTGCTTCAATTGAAATTGGTTTTTATTGTGAAATACAATGAATCAAATTTTGTTTGTATATAGAAAAACGCGTGGACTCGGATGGTTCGAAAGACAGTTCGTTGGATAGTGGCACGGACACTCGGTATATTGAGAAAAGAAGAGAGCAAACCAACGTTAAACAGGTATTTATACACAACCAGGATGTATTTTGGTGGTGTGCTGGGAGCGAGTTCAAATATTCTAAATACGATTTTGAAGCTTATGTTAAATAGTATAAGGAATATTTATGGTTTCTTTTTATATTTATAATTTGACATGAATTTCAATAAAAATTTATTTAATTTTCATTATTATTTTATTAAAAGTTGTTTTAATGTTTAATCCTCTTAAGGATCACTTTTGCTAATTTTTTTCGTAAATAAGACTTTATTTGTATACTAAAAAGGTTCAATTCAAATGATAATATAAGTGATTGGAATATTTTTACTCGGCTAAAGCTCCTTATATGTCTAACGTGTTGTTTAATCACTCACAATATGGTTTTGGTTTTCTTTCTGGTGAGGGTTTTTATAATGTAAATAATTTATTTATTTTGTTAATACATAAAAGTAGGAATGTTTTGACCCTATATAACTGCTGATAAATTTTATAATTATATTTTATCCTTTTTTTTTTTCATTTTTTTCGGGGCAATATAGATGTCGAATAGACTAATTCTACTATAGAGATCAACACGTAAGTTTTTCTTTTTTAGAAAATTATCATACAGCAAAAATTTTTCCGTATTGCGGATAAGTAAAAAGGGGGAAAAAAATGTAATTTTATTTTTTTATTGGTTATGATACTACGCTAGAGGCCGAGGTCCCTCAACCTGACGCAGTTACCAAGAGTGGAAGCCCTATTTCGCCATTTTGATAACACCATGAGAAAGACATATGACATACTCATGATATCTCCGAGGGCCGAGAAGGTTTTAGTTGCAATTTATTTTTTCTTTTGTTTGTCCGAGTGTCCGCTTGTATGCTTCATTCACCGTTTGCATATTGTTGACATCGGAATTAGAGAGGATATCTGTGCTGACAATTGCACGCTGCGATCTCCTGTCGAATTTTGTAGTTTTTCACTGTTATCTAAATATAAAAAAATATTGAGAAAAGTCTATGTAAAAAAATGTAATATTTAATCTTATAAAATGAACTACAAAGGGTATAAACAATTATCATTATAAATCTTACTTCAACCCTTCTTTGTATTATTTTTTTATTGGTGAAATAAATCAATGTGATATAATTCATGCTCAAAATTAAAGAAAAAATGGTTAAAAAAATAAATATATATACAGCTATGCTTTTTTCTCTGAGATAGACATTAAAAAGGTATCCAGATCAATTAAAAGTGAACTTGTTCTTTATATAATTTTTGGGCATACAATGTTATTATGGAAATTTCCACCATTATGCAAAGAAGGGTTTTTAAATTGGCGTTCTTAAATTGACTAATGTAAAATATATTGCGTAGATCTCTCTTATTAAAAAAAAAAAAAAAAAAACTAACTAAAAGTATCTTATTAATGAAAGCACAAAATTTTACAGGATTTTGCGATGTTGCAGTTCTTAGCAAAGAAGGCCTTTTAAAATTTTGGATATTATTTTGACGATTATAATACCAACATCAAACATACCATGTGTTTCCTTATCATTGCTTAAGTATTGTTATTATTAATTAGTTGTTAATTTATTAAGAATGCGCTCACTCAGCGCAGCAGCTGTATATTCGTTTGTCACGCATGCATTTCGTGTCTCATACAAATTCAACACATGCCATCTCTCTCTCGCTCAGAAACAGAGATGTTCTGTCATTATTGCATGAGGGAAATTTTAAATTCTTAGCGTGTTTAATGAGTTTTTATTCATTTCTTTCATACCGAGATGAAGAGCTGCATTTCTTATTGTTTTTTTTTTAACAGTTATACAGATGTTACTTACATTTTTATTATTATTTTACAAGACAATAATAATAGTCAGCTAATAAAAGTAGTTTTAATCCTAAAAACGTCCGACACTGTAAAGCGGTTAGTCGTTAGAAGAGTGTCATGGGTAACACAGTATATTCTGTGAAGTTCACTTTGTTGTTTATGTATATAAGCTTATTTGTTATTTATAATGGCATATCACTTGTTTAATTTAAAAAAAAAATCGTTATTTTTTAATTTTTATTATATAGAAAATAATCTTTTATCGATCATTATTACAATACATAAAATAATAGTTTTTATGAAAAGGGTATTATGTTAATTGATTATATTGTACATATATTATTTTATAATTTCCTTGAATATCTTTTTATTAAAAAACTAAAAAGTTAGCAGGTTTTGTTTACTAAATATATCAAGTAGTACAGACTGTAGTTACATACTTATGCATGATGCTTTGGGTTCATAAGTCATCGCATTTCATAGTATCATTAATTTGCCTTATTGAATTAATTATGACTTCTATATTTCCTTCTGTAAAGTATAATAAAGATAGATTTTTACGTCTTGCTTTTCACTGCATACATTATTTTCATTTAACTCTTATTTATACTCTGTACATTATAGCAAGGTGTGAATGCACTAGAACTAAAACTATAAAAAAGTATTCTAAAACAACTTATCGTTATAAAGTACGCAACAAAACATTTGATTATAAGAAAGTTAGATTTATTATGATTGATTCTAAAAATCTTACTAAAAAAAAAACCAGTAGAACCTGGTAAAATTGTCAGGTGTCAGTAGTAACATGCTATAACGTACAGAGTATAATCTGCTTTGTGTTTTTTTTTTAATATCACTAACATTGGAATGACAATTTTGTCATTATAAAAAATAGTTTGTCTTTTATTTAGAAATATTGTTTCGATATTTTAGAAGTCAATATAACGTGTTTTAAGGAAATGCTTCCGTAGGTAGGTAATTATATAAAAAAGTAAAAGTAGTATTTTGTTAAAATGGAATTTTATGTACTATTAATATAGCATTAGTATTTACATGAAAATTAATAAAATGAAGTTTAAAACATGTTTTAACTTAGTCTTGCGCTGTGCATGTTTTATGTTTTATAAGAGACGGGTAGGTAAGTTATGATGTGTATAACTTAATAATCATAGTTTACCTAAATGATGGCCTTAACACTCGTCTCATATAAAATTTGGAGTAATCATTGGGGCACAGTAATACAAGTATGTAAATGTTGCACACGTATTAATCAGTGTCGCGTTGTATGTATGTGAAACAGTTTATGTTCAAAGTTCGGAAGCGTTTCCTACACATTCACCATATTAATAAGTGTGTTAAATGGCATGCTCCTTTTATTTTTCGTGTGCTTATGTTTTGTTATTTTCCCACGGCACCAGGTGACTATTGTGTCCAATACCCGAACGGGTGAGGGTAGAACTCGGCATCATACGGATGACTCGTCGCTCGGCAGTTTTAAGTACGAGGTTCGATTTTTGTTTTTTTTTTTTTGTTTTTGTTTTATATTTATGGTCATGGGTTATTTGTGTTATGTTTTTAATTTTTTTTTTCACAATACTGTAACTTTATGATTAGTGATTTGTTATTTACAGGTTGTTATTTATAGTTATTTAATGGTATTTTTTTAACAATGAAATAAAAATGTAAAAAGAACAGCCATCGTGAGCAAGTGCCGAATGATTTTGCCGATAGATATATTTTCGCTACCATGTGAACAGGATACAATGAGACAGTGTTGTTATGTATTTTATATTTTTTTACGCTAACTAAAATGTATCAATCGGTTGATTCGTTCACCACTTGTATGCAAGGCTGGTGGCATAAAAAAAAGGAATTTACACAAATTGTATTATCATTTGTCGATTTTAATACGCATTTTGTGATAAAAGAGATCTTAATATTAAGAGTTTTATCAGTTGATTTCTATCGGTCTTATTTTATCTCTTTAAGAGACCGTTTGATTCTTTTTGAGGTCTAAAGTTATCTTTTTTTCATTCAATCAGTTTTCAATTATAGCGCTTACATCCAGACTGCGTCATTTTGTTTGTTATTCATAATTTGGAATGTATGGGAGTGCAACCTGAGTAATATTTAATACAAGAAGACATCTTCATTATCAGGATTACTATTAGCAGTATATCCACTGTTCATATCTGTTCATATCTATAGGTAACAGTTACCACTGTCCATCAGGTATTCTGGTATAGTGGAAAAACTACTGATGAGCTTTTTTCCTCAGGACCAGGAGTCAACGGAGCACGATGGTGACATCGAGGATATATCGGACGGCGAGAGGACGTCATCTTCGGAACGGGGCAACCGGCCCACATATTATCCGGGCAACAATGAGGTCGACACGCCCGGGTGAGTTTATTTTGGGGGTTGAAAAGCCCACTAATTACCTATTTTTTTATTTTCTTCACATAATTCATCTTGTTTAATACACTTCGAGAATTATAAATGTTGAAAACTGTAGGCGTATTTAAGAGAAGGCCGGGTGGGTCGTCCCCACTATAGAATTGTGTAGTAGCCAAGGTCGGGAGCAGTTTTAGCTATGAGAAAAGACACGTCCAAAAAACAACATGTGGGTATATGTTAAGAAGCCTAGAAAATGATTTTAAATGTTGAGAACGCGTAATATTAAGAGATATTTACATCGGCGGATTATTCAAAGCAAATACCATTGTTTCGCGTACAATGGCGATCTCCCTTCCCTCCTCCTAGAACTTCTACGTCTGCATAAAGCAGGTCATTAACATTTGTTTTATAAGTAGATGACATGCCAATCATCTCCCTTTCACTTATACAACGAAGTGCCTACAGGAAGGTCTTTTCCAATACATTAATTTCCCCATTAATATTTGTTTTATGTTTTAGCGAGTTTATGGTGAACGCAATGGACGCAGAAGAGTTGCGGCAATCGGTACGTCGCTCCAAGAGGTGGAAAGCGGAGTCACCAAGACTGGAGCTGCCACCTAGCGGGACGTCTCTCAGTGGCTCCGGCCATGACTCAGACGACGACGAGGTAAGTAATACATTATTATGATACAACATTCTATTCAGAAGCTTTAGGGTTCAAGTTCCATTCGTTCTTGTTTTAATTCATTAATAAATTATATTTGAAATATCAAATCGATGTATTAGCAGTTTTATTTTTAACTAGCGACCCGCCCCGGCTTTACACGTGTAGTAGAACATATATGCTTACATTTTTGTATCGAGTATAAATTAGACTAGTTTTTTGTACATTAGGCGGCGTTTTCGATGAAAGATTTCAGTCAATTTGATTACTTCTGACATCTTGAATAATCATAATATTTCAACAAATTAACATAAACGAATATTAAATTATACATATAAACCATCCCTCTTAAAGCATTCTGTTTATGAAAACCGCATTAAAATAAATTTCTTAATTTAAAAGATATAAACGTACAGCGGGTAGCAACTTTGTTTTAAACTATGTAGATATAATGTTTTTAATATTTATCACAGGTTTCAACGCCATCTGGCGACAATGCAGAACGGAATCCACTATCGGGTTCTTGCGAGTCGATCGACACCGCTGGTCGTCGTGAGAAGTACATTAAATCCGCGTTCGATAGTTTGAGTGGCGCTGATTTAGACACGACACCACCTGGAGGTTTGTTAACTATTCATTCTTGTATAGTAAGAATATAATACATAACAACGTGATTTTATTTAGATACAATCTGTTCTATTTTTTGTGGGCATATTTGATCCATAGATTATATAGGTCGAGTGTTTGTCTATGCTTCGTGAATACGGTCATCATAATTTACATTTATTAGTGTGTATATTATAAGGTTAAATTAAAAAGTAAAAACGTAAAAAAAGTAAATTCAAACCAAATTTCATGGTAATTTGTAATAATGTTTATCTTTATTTGGATACTTTTATTTATATCAAGTATGGACATAAAATTTGTACTCGTTTTTATGTAATTGTAAATAGTTGCCATTTTAATTAATACATGTATATTAATTGGTAAGTAATAAGTACATTTGTATATTATTATATCCGAAAAATAGTTCCGAATTTAATTTAAAACATCTGAGCTTTTTTTTCTAGTTACTTGCAACACTTAAAAAAAAAATGCGTTTATTTTGATTAAAAAAAAAACTATTAGCTAATTTGATGTTTGGCTGGCTAAAAGTTAACCCATTTTTTACACTCGATGCTCTATCTATATAATTTAAGATTACAATATACTGATACTTATATATACTGATTTCAAGTATTCGTTTTGCATATGCTTGATGCAATGACTATGTTTGATGACCTAAGACAGTCGTCAATACAAACTTGTTTCATTTTGGACTTTTTTGTTTAATGCAGGCAACACATCTCTATCGTCACAACACTTGTCACGAGCTCCAGTACCAGCAGCCAGACCCTCGGCTCCGGCGCCGGCGCCGAGGACGCCGGGCAAACACGTGGACCCTGAAGCGGCTAGAAAGCGAGAAGAACTTACTAGGCGCATATTGGAGACGCGGCGGCAGCTTGAAAGCGTCAGTATCTTAGAAATGTATCTTAGTATCTTACTAATCTTGAAATTGACTTGAACTATAACTCTTATGATAAATAAAAGTTGATTTTGAATGTTTCCAACTCAATTGCGTTTTAACAGCTGAATAGTTTTTAATTAAAATTAATACACAGATAATATTGTAGACTAGCGACCCGCCCCAGCTCCGCACGGGTATATAGTGAAGGGATCTTTATTTATTCTAGATATTTTTTTTTATTTTAAATTTTAAATAGTCTTATGTTAAAAGCTGATGGTGTGGCTATCTATAGGTAAAAGAATTTTTAAAATCGGTTAAGTCATGAGTTTATCCATTACAAACAGATAATTAAATCTTTTCTCTATAATATTAGTTTAGATTAGTGCTTAGACTACTGCTTGTACTGTATGTCAGCACAATCAAAACTGAATCAAAATCGGTTCATCTATTGGGGAACTATGCATCATAATACATATAATCATAATACAATAATGGATACATACACATTACAACTTATAACACAAATACAGAGATTATTTGTATAGATGCTTAAAATTACTTTTTTTTGTCAACAATGACGTCAGATTATCTGGTAAAGTGGAATAGAATACTTAAATATTTATTAATAACTTTAGTTTTTTTTTATTATTATTTTTTAATTACTATGCATGTAGGTACACACAACTCATAGAATAAGAATTTTTAATACCTTTTTAGTTATAAATGTTATTAAATTGATATTCGTTTATCAGGTGGCGTTCCGGTCGAATCTAAAAAGTAGTCAGTCGACCACAGATCTGTCCTACGTGCCAGAGAAAGATGGTTCGCGGCGGGCCCGCCCCATCTCTATGGCGGTTCCGTCCAATACGAGGCAATATGGTAAGTGCCTCCTAGTAATAATGCGTGTTATTGTTCTAATGAATACAGTCAATTTATTACTGTAATATTGTTATAATAGAGTTTAGTTTTCTATTAACAACAGTAAATGTTTGAATCAATTTAAAAGTAGATTTTGATTTTAGTAAAGTTTAGTAAACTTAATAAATTGTATGTGGTAAAATTATTAACACAGTCAAGAATCTTAGTATATTAATAAATACTAATAAATAATTTTTAGAGGATAAGGCACTGATGTGATTAAAAAATGAAGAGCAATAGTTCATTTTATCATTGACAAGTATGTCATGGCCAACTGTATGTAAATAACTAATTACTGAGAATTAATTAATATCAGTCTACTATACTATTAATAAAATTACATATTAAGAAAATACAGTAATAAATTATTTGTGTTGAATTATTCTAATTCTTGTTGAAGATTGAGCGTGACACATCATAAACATCTGCTATTACATACCATATTCTGACAAGAAATTAATAATTATATGATATAAGTAAAAAAATGTAATTGTTTGTATACAAGTTTTAAGTTACATTTACATATAAAGATAGTTGACTATAAATGTGATTTAAAAATAGAAAGTAATATAATTTTATTATGTATGTAAGTATATTTCTTGTCAGATACGATAACATATGTATTGCTATATACTAACATTTAAAATTTCCCCATCACGCTAACCAGGAGTACCCAACCCTTGTCCAGAGGAAACCCTGGATAGTCTAAACTCAAATTATTTCGACAGTCTAAATCCATACCCTAATATGAATATTGATTATCGGAACAAAAACCCCTACGCCATTCCTGCGAATTTAAACAAAATTATACCCGAATATATAGAAAATGTGGCACCATATGTACCACCTCATGCCAATATACCAAAAACACAAAATGATAGACGCACAATGAATTTCACTCCTTATGGGAGCAAACCCATTGTATTTAAAGAACAACTGCCTCAGAAACAAGCATTAGCTTTTACTATAGATATGGGCAAAAAGCCTGTTCAGTCTAAGGTCTTCAATAGACTATTTCCTAATAAGGATGAGAAAGAAACTCCTAAAGTACCATCTAAAAACTTCCATTTAAATTTAAAGCCTGATGATAAACCTCAACCCAAACCTAAACCAAATGCAAGAAGTATTTTTAAAAATTACAAATCATGCCCAGTCTCCCCGGTTTCGGAAGAGTGTAAATGGACAGATAAAGTTGCTCAAAATCGAAACCATAATCAAAATGAACAAAAGCCACAAACAAACTCTTTAGATCCTAAAAAAAGAAATTCTTTATGTTTCTTTGTAGGGCTTGATAGTAAAAATTTGAAAGACAGTGGGAAAAGTATTGTGGATACTATAAAAACTGATACAGAGAAAATGATAGCTGAAATAACTAAAAAGTATGGAGATTTAGATGATTATGGGCCTAAAGCAGAAAATGATTTAGATTTACACCCGACTAAAGAAGTAGAAGAAAAGGATGACGGTAATTTCTCTTCTGATTCTTTAGAAGATTGTAGTTTAAGTCAAGACGCAAGCTGTAAAAATAAACTTTATTCCAAGAAAGTTTGTAAGAAACACAATAAATCACAAGCTCCCAGACGTGCTGTTTCTAATTACGAAATATATGTTGGTGATAAGCCCGCAGTGCCTGCTAAACCACAGTGCATTGGTCAGAAAAGTTCTACATTACCTCGAAATATGCCATCGAATCTTGATGATATTATGGATGAAGATTCAATTAATTATAATTATTCGAATATATATAGGTGCCAAAGTGTATTAACCAAAAGATGCGTGACACGTTCAAATGAATCCGTTCTTAGTGATAATTCAAACTGTTCCAGTGTTTCTAATGAAATATTTTTAAAATACGGCAACGAAGTAGCGTTCCAACAAGCTAAATTTGATAGTAGTAGATACAATTTGAATGATTCCCAAAATTGTTCCTTTGAAAATATTAATGAACCCGATGGACAATATTTGGAACATCACAGACATAGCAGTGCTAGTTTCTTTCTGAATCAGAAAAAATATATAAAGTCTAGTTGTAGTCAAGAATCTGTATTATCAGACGAGATGTTTTTGGATAACGATAACCAGTTATCGAGGACTAATTGCAACTCTTTAGAAAGCGTACTATCTGATGATTCAGAATGTACTAAGAGTGCTCCTTTGGAAATGCTATTCGAAGGTACGAGGCTTAAACGCCAACAAAGAAGTCACGGTGTAGGGATACCTAGAAACAGTAAAAGTTGCTACGAATTCGATAATACATCGAAAAGTTATGGATCAAGTCCTAATAATGTTCCATACTTTGGTAGTTACATGTATAATAATTATTTAGAAGGTACGAGTCCTAATTATAAAGATATTGCTCCGATCAGTATTAGCCCAAAGGTTCCGGCTAGTAAAATTTATGGATTCGAAATTCCCACTTCAGAAATGTCAGGACATAAGACGGTGACTAGATCTAAAAGTCTCTATGATTCTGCATCAAAAGAGCCTCCACCAGCAAAGAATATTGCGTATTATTTCGATGGAAATAATATTCAGCAGTATACGAAAGAAAAGAAACAGACAGATGAAATACCCAGATTAAAAACTACTGATTACAGGGCTAATACCAGCAAATCTCTACAACCACAATTTGTAGAAAAACGTAAACATGTGAGTGAAATGGAAGGCTGTGACCGAAACACTATGATTAAATCTAAAAGTTGTAGTTTTGAAGTTGTATTGGAACCTGCTTCTAAACCGAATCCACTCAAAACGTTGATGGAGAAACGCAATTCTCATGTACAAAAAAATCTTGAAAAATTCGAAGAACAGATACGTAAAAATGCTCAAACCAAAGTTAGCAAAAATCAATTGAATAAGGATAAAGCGAACGGCTCGAAATACAATAATGTCACTAAAAGTCTTGAACGAGGATCTCAGAAGAACAACAACGTTAAAATCACAATGGAATTCGTTCCACACAAACCACCTAAACCTATTAAAAGAACATCGTCGGTGAAAATAAACAACAGATTAAAAGCAGGATTAGATAAGGCTAGTCTTAGTTCTTCCATATCATCCCAATATAAAGCTAAATTAGATGGTTTGCAAAACAAAAATTATTTAGGTAATAAGAAAGAGGAAGACAAAAATTCGAACAAAATTGACTCTTCTGATAGCGCGGAAAAGACATTTGACATTTTTGTTAAAGAAAAAGATGTGAATGAGAATAAATCTGAAATACAAATGGACAGTTTAGAGGTTTACGCTTTGCAGAGAATTGAAAGAATGAAACAAGTTAGTATGGACTCTTTAGATGTTATAGAAGACAGTAATGATTTTGCCAAAGATTCATTAGATTATTATGCGGAGCAAGATAACAAGTTTTACGGGAAATGTATTAAAGATCAAATTAATAAGAAGATTTCACATGATAGGGATTTATCTCAACCGTGTCATAGTAGACAAATGGATACTAAAGAAAATGTAGTGCCTGAAACTGAAATAAATGAAGAGATAAAAAAATATAAATATATTGAACGTAAAATAGAAATTATAAATAAGTTGGTAGAAATGGAGGAAAGGAAAATACTGCAAGAGAAAATATTAAAAGAATGGAGAATGAAACCTTTAAAAGCCAATATAAATGACGGCAAAGGCGTGGTTAAAGTATTATCTAGGAAATTTGAAAAATTAGCAACAAAACAAAATACGGTACCAAATTTTGCATCGTTGACTTTGGAAGAAGCTGACGCAGACACACTGCCAATTTCTGAAAACAAAGAAATTAAACGTAATTTAAGTTTACCCGATATATTGGATTCTGAACAAATAGGAGGTTTGGTAACTGTAGACGTTCAGGAAGAAAGTAACAACGTAACAAACGAATCAGGCAACGAACTTGTTGGTGTCGAGGAACCGGAAATTAAACTAAATAATACAATAAAAACTGAGGTAAACGTTCCCAAAAACTTAAAACAGAGAGTATACAATGAAATGGTAATACCAAAAACTGACGTTCATTTAGACAGTGAAAATTACGAATCTTCGACGACAAGTTCGAGTTGTACCAATTCTCCAAAACGACTTTCTTTTTATGGATTCAATCGTCCAAAAACACCTTTTAGAAAGGTTATAAGAGTTCCTACTCCGAGATTGTGTATGGAAAATAAAATTGTAGCTACTAGTAAAATACGACCAGTAATTTGTTCGGGGAATGTCGTTAGAGGTTCTTGTCTAGCTAAAAGGGTGCCATTTCAAACACCGGTCCTTCCATCGAAGTTTACGCCAGCGCAAGGTTCGGAAGCATGTTTGGCAGTTATACAAAAAATAGATGTCACGTTAATTTGCGCTTATCAGACGTCGCTGTCTTTCGTTATACCAAATTCAACCATGAATTTGCCAAATTTGTGATCAATGTGAAGAAGCCAAACATTTTATTCGGGAAATTTACAATATTTATTATCTATATTCATTTTGCTTTCTTTTGGCTGATCTTCACAAATCATCACAAATCATAGCTTCTCGTTTTTATTTTTAAATAATAACGATTTTTACGGCATGTTATAATTATTTTGTTACAATCATGTGTGCACGTGTTTTTTGACACATAGTGTTATATTTTGTCTTTGCTTTTGCTGGATTCGCATCTGAAGGAATGGTCACTTAGATTACTGATATATTTAATATTATTTCATAATTTTTATTTAATTAAACATCACACGGCACTCAAAAGTTTGAATTGTAACTATAATATTAAAATTGCTTTTACACTTTTTTTTTTCTTTACTTTAATGAATTGATTGATGATTTACCAATATTTTATGCTTATCAATTTTTTACTACATTTTCAATTGAATAGTATATTTATTTCGTTTTAATAAGTTTAGAAATTATTAGTGCCATGTTTGTATTTTACTTAAAATAAGGATACACACAGATAACGTCATGTCATGCGTTAAACAGGATTACTAGTCGATCTTGTGATATTAAATCATGAGTTTTGTACTGAAATTCATTATCAGCATAATGCCAACAAAAAAATAATAAGTATTACGTACCGACCAATCATTCAGATAGCTTGCATGTTATTTATATTCGGGTATACCATCAGTCAATCGCAACCACATGTCGTCTGAGCCTGAAGAGGAATCAGCGGGGATGAGGCGGGCTATATCGCTGTCCGATCTCGCCGTCAAACCTATGCCGGCACCGAGAACGCCACAAGGTAGGTTCCTATAGGTTGACACAGAATGGTTGCACAGAAGGTTATGAATTCAAAACTAACTTGTCGGAATCGGATATTTGAAGGTGGAGGCGCCACTACTTAATTAAAATTATTGATTCTTATTTTGAACATAAATATATTAAAGATGAATAATCTAGTATATTGCCTGTAATGAATGGAAGGGATTAACTCACACATAATAAAGTTTCAAAACTATTATTTGGGTTGAAATAACTGTACATTATGATTTTAAACACATTACATTTTTGGTTACCTAATTATTGGTGTTGGGTTTGCATTTTATTCGGAAACATATCATGGTGAAGGTATTCAACTATTTGAAACTGCTAGAAATGGTAAATGATGCTCTACGTTTTTAAATTATTGACGTATATGAGTATTACAAATGTGCCACTATGTGGAGTTTATAGACATGTATTAAAAAATAGGAAATCTTCAATACAGTGCAAGTTACTTTGCATGTTCTTTTTTCTATTCAAATAGCTTTGCATATTTGAGCTTGCTTGCATATTGTGCGAGCTTTATGTGTTTTTATTTTAACTTAATATAAACCACTTGTCTGACAGGCAACGAGTAGCGATTTTATCAAGCGACTAGCGAGTTGATTGCAATAGAGTACATCAATAGATTTTAATATGAGACATGTTATATTTTTTTATTATTAAAACATGTGAAATATAAATATTTGGGCATATCCATAGCTTGTTCTATCAGGTTCTTTGTTCTATATAGTGCGGATCTGCAGCAGTGTACCGAATTTACTTAAATTATATCTTTAATATAAAAAATGTAGGTCTTGGGGAAACGTTTAAATCTCTTTTGGAAAACAAATTGTGATGTTTTAAAATAATGATGAAGTCATTCAGAATTAAAGAACTTATTGAAATTATTGGTGATCCACGATAATGCAGTATCCGTTTGCATATAGACGATTAAAAAAAAAAAATTCTAAAATTTGTAATTGTAATTGTGTATCTCTTATGTGTTGATTGTCAATCGTTAGTCGCTTTATCGTTGTCATTGAGACCAGTGCCTAGTCTTAATATAAATAACTTAATTAACATAAATAACATTAACGTTTATATCATTAACTTATACATATATTGAAAAAATAAACAGCATATTTTAAGTTTAAATTTTTATTGTCTTTTTTGGACTTTTTTGAGAATTTAATTTTGTTATATTATTTCCCATAATTTTTGTGAGAAATATAGCCTATATTATTTTATTATGGTATAGCTTTCTAACAATAACAAATTTAGTAGTTTTCGAAATTAAAGGTAAAGAAAATACAAAAAAATATATACTTTTTATTATACTAGAAATAACAGATGGATATTTTCATACTGTTACTTACTTTATAAACGACGTAATATGTAAATACTTGAAATGTTTTTCTACTGCGTAACATTAACGTTATTTTTATATTGTAGCCACATCGAAACCGGCGCAGCCTACAGCGCCTGCGACAAAATCGCCCAGCGGATTCGTCCGGCCTACACCCCGGTATAACAACAAGTCAAACATGACCCGAAGTTCAAGTGTTGGGGTCTTAAATAATCAGGTATTTGGGTATTTTGTACTAGATTTTCGAGACCTATTCTAAAGACGACTGATACGAAGTAATATGGAACAATAAGGAGAGAAATCTTTCTATATCATCGACGTGCCAGCCGTACTTTACAACCCACTAACTTCTCTCTATTGGATATAAGACTTTTTTAATAAGGAAAAGATATCTCCATTATCTGCTAGGTCCCGGATACAGTAAATTTTATAGAATTTGCATGCACATTATACTACCAGTTTAAATTAGGCGGGCGGTCAGTTTGTTTACCAATTTAAATGTCTTTATTTGCATTAAACATGGTTACATTAGATATTCAGTTGTGTATACTTCGAGCTACATGTTTCATCAAAGTACTGGTATGTAAAATTTATTGAAATACTAATAACCTAGTCATTCTGTACATAATACAGGTGTGTCAAAAATAAATAATTATCATCAGGCTAAATGTCCATTATTATTTAGGTAGATAAGATAAAATATAAAATTAACTTAATAATTTATATATTTATTGTAATTGATAAAAAAACGCAACATTATTACATAAAACTCTGTTTATGGTATTTGGTATTATTAACAGTCATAATTTATAATCATGTTTTTTATTTCACAGAGTGATTCAGAATCCGATCCACAACCGTCTCGGCAGCAGCCCCCTCGTGCCCAGGGTCTGATGCGGCCGACCATCAGTTCAATGAACAAGGTTGCTGCGAACACAGCCAGGAGACGGGGACTCGCCAACGCTTATAGTGCAGGTTCGATCTCCACTCAATATTAAACTTATATTCAATTATATCATAAACTAACGTAGCTAGTAAAGTGTTAGTTTAAAATAATTTTTATATATACGAACTTTAAATGCACTTTTATTTAATTTTCATTGGTATATAATAGACTTACGTGCGCCAGCGTGAGTCAGTAATGAATAATAACATCGCATTTACTCTAGCAACTGTCACTCGATAGTACTCTTTATTTTGATAGTACGATGACATTTTTGACATTCGCCCATATCATCATCATCATCATCATCATATCAGCCTTTAACTGTCCACTGCTCAACATAGATCTGTTCCATAAGGGGGGTTTTGCCAGTAGTTGCCATGCTTTTGCTCATATAAAGATATATTAATATTGACAGTAGTATAAAGTTAGATATTTTATTTATTTAAAGGAACACCAACAGCATAACATATAAAACAAACATTAAATATAATACAATAGTAATGCACATGCCTATTATACGTAATTACATTATTATAGATATTCTATTCAAATATTCATAGAATTTCATTCATTAATTTTTTATTTTAGCTATTTGTTTATATTCTATTATTTCCTGCAATAATATTTTGAAAAAATATAGTTATACGTATCATTATTTACTAAATAAGCCAAATGTAAAAAAAAAAAATGAAAAATTGTCGTATTTCTTTGTCATATTATAGAACATTATTGTAAAATTTATTATCTCAACCAAATTACATATGAGTTAAATTGGTAGTTATTATATAAAATATAATGTACTTATGAAATTTTTAACAATAAAATTATTGTAGAGTCAAAAATGTCAGCATACACTGCTCCAATAGTAATAATCCACAAACAATAGGAAGTAGTTACAATTACACTGACCACAGCGCTTAACAATTATCGAACCTGCACCTAATAAACTAACATGCACATCACAGTGAGCCTCTCAACCGGGGGGCAGGAGGAGTCCAGTTCCGAAGCGGAGGAAAGGACCGCGGAGAAGCCGGCGGTCCCGCCGCGGCCTAGAGCGGGCTCGGTCGACCAGCGACGTATTGGTGAGTGGTTATTTACTTGGATTCAATAAGTAAACCACAAATGATATTGCAAGAGTAGTAGACATCGATTTTTCTTTAAAAAAAAAAAAAAAAACTACATTATCTGGTCTAATATTTATTTTGATGGAAATTAAAAAAAAAAAAAAAAAACTTTCGGAGCATCTGAAGGAACGTGGTTAAGTATTTTTGTCTACCGATAAACTAGCAACCCCGGCTTCGCATGGGTCATATACACTTAATTTTTTTTTTGTATCAGCTTGTTGCATTGAGTATGACGTAGACGTGTATAGTAAGCTGCCCTTAAAAGATGTTTTTTTATGCAACTTAGAATGGCAAACAAGCTGACGGCTCACCTGATGGAAAGTGGTAAGCGTCGCCTATAGACATGAGCAGTACCATGGACATAACAAAGTATACTGTTTCGCCCATGATACTCCCCATGCGTTGCCATTCCTGAGGACTCAGGTGTTATTCCTCTGTGCCGTGTAAATTGACTGCCATATCCCAACCTTCAAACCGAAACACAACCATGCAAACACAACTACTTCACGGTTGAAACAAACAAACAAAAAATTTTATTTAATTAAATATACAAACATTTAAACAACTCTCACATGCATATTATTTGTAAAATACATTTATCAGGACGTAGCGGTAGCGAACGGGACTTGTCGGCGAAGGCGAGAGAGGTGACCGCGCGGTTGACGGCCAACACGAGGCAGCGACCCAAACAGGACACCGCCCCAGAGGCCAACAGTAAGGTTTTTTTTTAATTTTACTTATATCATAACGGAAATAATTATTTTTACGTTTTCTGGGATTCAGAGAAACGATTGTATGTCTTTCATGTAAAAGTGATTTATAAATTATTGTTTGTGAATGATCGTTATTACCTAACTTGGCAAATATTATTCTGCTATATAAATTAAGAATAGGGACGTCTTAATCAGTTAACGGTATAAAATGTACTTTATGAGATATGCTCATAATTACCAAATTATCACAAAAAAATCATAAAAATCGGTCGAGTCGAGATTTTGGAGGAGTGCGACTACAAACATCGTGACACGAGATTTTTATACGTATGTATATACAGATTTACTGTATTCACGGGTTATCATTGTAGATCTTACATAGGTTTACAATGGTCAGTTCCTTACATTAGCCAATGTAAATGTATCATTATTACATGCCATCATAAAATATAATTAATATTTTTACTCCAACCAAGCATATTTATACATATAAATATTTTTACTGTGTTATTTGATTAGGGCTTAATAATAGGTTAATGTAGCTGTTATTTTATTACCTTAATTTTGTTTATTTTTGTAGTGTCGTCGTCACAGCTGTGCTCCGCGTTAACGGAACAACTGACGAAAACCGCGTGCAAAGTGGTCCAGCTGTACACGAGTCTGCAAAGGGAGCCCAATTCCGCCGCTGATATCAGCGGTAAATTATTATGTTTAATATATTTCTTATGCTGGTTAAGTTCTAAATTATTCTAAATACAGGCAATAAATAAATCTTTATTTGTTAGTTCATAAAAGTGTAACGTCTAAGGCTAAGACAATTGACTTTATATATCACTAACAGTATCCCCCGGCTTTACCCGCCTTAATCAGTTATAAAGTGATGATAATGGAATAGTAACCCCGCCTGCGCTATCGGTATACGTTGGCGGGGCACCAGTGAGTAGTGATAGGCGAGGATGAAGCAGGTCAGTTAGTTTCCTATACATGACATAGACATGACACCTAGTGTTTCCTTTATCTGTCCCATGTAGTTATTTCTCTGTTTTTCTCTTCCTCTTTTGCCCTCTAATTTTTCTTCTAGCATGATCTTTAAAAAATCGTCATGTCTTATAAGGTGGCCTGGCAATTTGCTTCTATTGTCTATTGTTTTTAATAATGTTCTTTTCAGGTCTCGAAGCGGCTATAGTTGAAACGCAAAAGGTCCTTCGTAGCGCCGTGATGCGGAACGCGCAGAACGGGGGCGAAGCCCTGAGCAGCCTCTCGTCCAACGACGGGGACTACAAAGGTCTAAACGTGGACTCCACTCGACAGAAATTGGAGCACCTCGTCTCGAAAGGTAGTGTCCACAATAGCCACTGAGCCGACGAATAAGGTAGTTTTGAGTTTATTTCAGGGTCTCGTGACGTGATGTTTGTGGCGTGCTGATGGTGGTGGTAACGTTGTCTTTGGATGATTTGTAATATGTATATACATGTAATTTAGTATATTTATTTATTGAAATTATCGACAAATAAAAATTAAGATATAGAGAGGGAGAGAGAAAGAAATATGCTTTCTTTGACTACACATTTGGGTAATAATAATATTGTTTAAAAAAAAAGACTTCAATTGTGGCAAAAACAGTTAATTTGATTTCAAAACGCTGAAGCGAGTTCAATAAAAGTTCTATGTGATAATTTGTAAGTATATTTTTTCAGTTAAAAAAATAATTTTCCAAATTGTTTTCTAATTGGCGGGACAATAACGAATACAATCGAATTGAGAATGCCTTTTTTTTTTTGAAGTCGGTTAAATATAACAATATTGCACAGAGATAATTGATATGGATGTAATAAAGTGGTGTTACTGCTGAAAGCAAACTTCTAAAAGCGACTATTTGATTGTATTACAAATATTACTAAACAGTTAACATTTCGTCATAGTCGTAGAATACTGACGGATCTTTATATATAATCTTTCTCAGATCCGTCAGTATTCTACTACTATGACGATTTGTGAAGTGCAGTGTGCAAAGTCTCTCACTAACTGCATTGGGTTGGCTGGAAGAGATCTCTTTTAGAGATAAGCCCACCCTTACTAACTAGTCTAGTTACAGTTTTATTATAATGTATACTTTGTTTTTGTTAACTACCAACAAAAAGAAACAAACATTTTACAGACTGTTTTTACATTACTGTTGTTTATACATATTTACATTTTTTCTAACACGATAGTATTTTTTTATCACACAATTTGTTTCGTGCTGATGCAATTTGAATTAATTCTTTGAGTTTATTATACAAGGGAAACGGTACATTTGTTGTGATTGTCGGTACAATTGTATGTTGCAATTCAATAATCAACTTAAGTCTTGGAGCATACGAGTACGTATTACTCGGCATGATAATATTAGACTAAGCTTTTTTTGTAAGAGATCCAACGGTGTCTCGAATGATTGTTGATTATTGAAGTATGTAATGTGTCTTATATTTTTTAGTAGTTTTAAGTAAAAAATTAAAAAGAAAGTCATTAAAGAAATACAAAATAAAAGAGTATAACTTTAACTCCATTTTAATGTATTAGAAATCAAATGCGCAAACTAAAAATTGATTTAAAAACGATAATTTAAATATGTATGTATGTAATTAAAATATTTATGTACTTATATAGTAGATTGTGATAAAAAAATTATAGTCATTTGTTTGTATGACTTTAATTCTATTTTATTGTCTTAAAGAATTAAAATAATTTAAAATGAATAATTTAAACATTTGCATATTTATAAGATCCGGCTGTAATTACAGTTATATAAAGGTTTTATTTTTATTTCTACAGAAGCAGGCAACGCTGGCAACACTACAGCATTATCATTCTTCGAACAATACTCCGATATATTATTAAATATGATGCAAACGAAAATGGTGAATCAGTTCCCTCAAAGCCCCCAAAGTTTACCGCCGAACACGTCAAGAGAACCAGGGGCGGAGAGCTAGTATAAGCCTAACATGTGATAAAAACTGGAAAACTTTTAAATGAGCGGTAGGTGTCGTTATAACCGTTATCGAGTTTTGTGACTTCTTTATTTGTATTTCGAATGATTGTGACGTTTAGTGGTTTTTCAATGTGTCTTTATGGCTTCATTATTGACATTTGATTGTAAGAAGTAATAATAAATTAATTAAATTTATTAACAAATTATCACGGCAAAAACTTTTGCACGAATATAATTTTTTATTGATTATTCTATGTCGTCCTCATACTATATACATATGTACATTTTATACTATTTATGATTTTTTTAATTTTTTTTTTACAAACAGCACAAACAGAGAACGAATTGCACAAACATTTTATCATCATCATCATCATCATAATCATATAAGCTGTTAACTGTCCATTATTGAATATAGGCCACTCCCATAAACTGCCATTGCCTCCCCGTAGTGCATTTGAGTTTGTCGCTCCATGGATAGAGCGATTAACGTTTATTAAAATACCAAACAATATATGGGGCGGTACAGATAACAGTCCTTTTGTTTATTCTCAAGGATTAAAGTAGCAATTTCGATTTGCAATTGCTGCAAATTATGGCTTAAAATGGTTGTACTTTTGTATATACATTGACAATTGCAATAAATATTCAATCCTAAAATGGATTTTATGTATTTGTCCTATTGAATTACCGATATAAGACAATTTAAAATTTAATTTACTACTGAATTACTGTACTGACTCTGCAATACTGAATGACTGGATTCTTGAGCTTTTCTTAGAGAAATAAAAAAAAAAAATTCTCACAATCAAATGTCATTGGCGTGAATAAGTCTAGATAAACGCAACAGATGGGTATGGTACATATTCGTCTAGTTGCCTTCACGCGCTCCGCGAGGGACACTGTAAAACTCTGATTTTATTCGCACGATAAAATTACATGTTTTACTGAACGATATTGAGTCGATGTCAAGGAATAAGTTTTTGTACCATAAAAAGAGATATATCCATAATTGTTGAAATGGAACGCATTAAAATGTAATAAAATATTCTGCGTCTTACACACATGTATTTTACGTTTTAAATAGGGAACTCATACGGCTTATTTTTAAATTGGTTTAGCATATCCTTGTTATTTTGTTAAAATTCTATTAATTCAATTTATTTTTTGACATTCCAAATTATATGCTATAAGCTGAGTTTGAAATTTTAATTAAACATATTCCAAATTTTTTGACATATCTATAAAAGAAAGATAATATACTGTCTAGTGCGGTATTGATCCGCAAAGGTGATCTTTTATGACTTTCAATGCTAGCAAACTAAAAGTTTACTACGTTTAAAAGTTAACTAATATCATCTGTTAGTTATTAAAACATCAAGTTATGATTACTGTTTATTGTCTTATGATAAATGTTTTTGTAACAGTATTATGATTAATACATGTATTGTAATAATTACAAATATATATATTCTTTATTGCACTTGAACAATACATGTAGCGATTAGTTTAACAACTTGTTAACAAGGGAGGGCTTATCTCTGGAAGAAATCTCTTCCAGCCAACCCAGTGTAGTTAGAGACAAAATATATATGTTACAACATATTTGTAATGATTACAATATATATAAAAGTATAACAAAAAGTTATGGAGTGACAATTTAAAAAGACAACCATTCCAAAGAAAAGATATGATCAATTTTTAATTGTATACTTTAATATATCCTTGACTTTCATGTAACCTTGACTTACATTTTACACTCAATTAACGAATTTAATCAGAGTTAATCAATTTATAAACATGATTATTCGGTATGTTTATTAATAAATCATGTTAATTCTGCCATACTAATTATTGCATTTAAATTCATTCCAATTTGTTATTAGAAAATTTTATACTTGTATCGTGTTTATGTATTGAAATGTGTTATACATTATGAGACTTTGATGTAGGTAAAATTAAATATTGCATAGATATAAGGCTTTCAGCACATAGAGTAGTATCGCCGCGATTGTCGATTAATCGTTTGAAAACACACTGCAGTTTATATATACAGTAATCAACAGTAGACCATTAGACACGTTAGATAAAGTAACGAGTTTCGGAATTAAAAATCATGTAATCTTTCGGGGTATGTTAAGATATTATACTACTGGTTGTTTTTTTATACTATGGTAACATATCGCCACACGACTGATGGCCGTGGCACCGTATCTTCTACATCTGTGTGTTAATTGCAGAGTTTTTACATATAACGCAGTGTTGCTCTATGTGTGAAGTGCCTTACGTGATCGTATGTATGATTTTATAGAATGTGATAAATATTTATGTATCCTTCTAAAATTATCACAGCTGGTCATAAAGTCATAACGTTGATATTAATTTGAATAGATGGTCGGTTTGATGTAATTAAGCATGCTCTAGAGCATGACCTTAAACAATTATATTTATATTAAAGAGGAGCGCTGGGATTTCTTTGGACTAATCTATTATCCAATAAATATCTCTGCATTCAGATTCATAGAAAATGAAACGAGCAAGTGCAGAACAGTCCAAATCTGCGGAAGAATATACTGAGTGATTAAACGATAATTTTTGTTTGACAAAATTAAAGACCGGGTACGAAGTTAGTTTAAAAGTAATACTGGGGTAATAACGGATTACTGGTTTAATATTTGCGTTATCTATTCAAATTAATGTCTAGACTAATTATAATATTGGTTTTGTATATTGGCTTCAGAGTTATAGAACTATTTAATATAACGAAATTGTCAGCGAGCAAAGTTAGATGTTTTGACATCGTTACATGTAGCATAAATAATTTGAACTTTATTATTATTAGTCATATAGCATAAATTAGATAATTCTATTCTATTTACGGTTAGAATAAATGGACCTAAACTCTGAAGCCGGCGCAATTGTAATGAATTAAAAGAATTTTTAAACGACACGGGTATTATAGCTAATTGGTTTCCATAATTTAGCATTATTATTTATAGATTAAAAAAATATTCATAAATGCATTCAATGACCATGCCAAACCAGAATTGTGTTGTCAGATTTGTAAAATTTGTTTCATTAAGAAGCTAGTCAACTAGCAGAAAAATAACAATTGAACTATCAGAAATAGAACACTATAATTCAAAGGAAGTTCCAATATAAATTTACGCTTCAAATATGAAAACGAGTGTAATTACTTATTCTTGGAAATATGCTTACTTAAGTAAAAAAAAGAAATAAATAAACACTCAAACCAAATGTCTTTTCAGCATGTATTTCAATCTATTTTTGTGCTTATATCAAATTAAAATTTTAACATTATAATGTTAACACTACCTCATATTCGAATTTCTACCAAAGTAACGTTAATGGCGTATTTGCATTAGTCGAGGTTTTAATATTGCAAGTAAAATATTCTGTAAAGTCTACAATATAAATTGAGATTAACGATTGGTCTTTCCTTTAGACCAATTATTAATCTAAGAATACCAAATACAAGTATCATCATAAATGGTTGAAAAACTGTTTTACCGCTTTCGTCGGCAGTTAATTGCAAAAATGCAACCAACAGTACCTATTTCTCGCTATTGTACTACAATCGTTAAAAATTAATTAACGATTCGAGGAAGTGCAAGAAAATTTTATAAATAGTCCGCCATATTGGATTTGATAAGGTGTGAGATACAATGTTTTCAAGTGAAGTGTTGAGGTATTTTTAAAAAGTCGTCATGAAAATTATTATAGTGGGTAACTGTGTCGACAAAGGTAAATGCGCCAAAGTTTGCAGATCATAAACAGTGATTGATGTTATGTATATAATTGGTCGCTGTTTGGGTCGTTTGTACATGAATATGAATAGTAAAAATAATGGCTCTTAAGGCATGTGGATTCGTTGTATTAATTGATAATTCGCTCGGAAGTTTTATAGGGATAGATTGTACAGAGTGTTTAAACAAGTCGACATTGATAATGTGATTTCTAACGCTTGAAATGTATATAGTTTTGTACAAATAGTTCGCTAAAATGTGTAAGCGCTGCAAATTCTCCAAAACGTTTGTAATTTTTGTTTATGGTATGTGTTCTGTCACTTTTAATAGACAATCCAAACCATAAACAAGGAGTTTCATTTTGCATTCACAATGAAAGAGAATTAGTTTATATTCTTGTTTTCAGTTTAAAAATGAAACTTAGAATAAATAGATAAAACATCAGGGATGTTAGTGCAAATTGTTTTGGGAAATTGTTAAATAAATTTCATACTGATGGTATAATGTCAGTCTGAAAAAGATATTTGTCTTATTATGATAAGGGCATTTAAGAGCTTCGAAATTGGAAAATGCGATCTAAGATTGCGTTCTTCGTTATCTTAATTCTCAATACTGAGTCACTAAGTCACTTATTGTAATATAGATGGCGCTGTTAATATCTTTTCTCTGATAATTGGAGGTGTTTTAAATTAACTCAATCGATTAACGTCCGCAAGTCAATGTTATCGTAGTTCTAAGTGTTTTTATTTGGATTCGTCACAAATATGTAGTAATGGTTATTGTATGCGAGGTTGTATGTACGAAGTGTATGTTGAAAGTGTAAATAACGATATTAAACTAAGCTATTGTAATATTTTAACAGATTCTGATTTTTTTTTAAGCATGGCTCAGGGCTTAAGCATTTATGACTATATCTTTTATAGGAGTTTCTCTATATAGACTGAGAGTGTATCAGTTTTAAATGCTGACGTAAGATTTATGTATTGCTTTCTTTTTCAAATATTTAATACTACTTTAAATATGTTTTCAAGTCTTGTTACTTAAATTTTACTTTCTTTTTTTTAAATCTTTTTAACATGTCATATTAATTGTGATTGAAAAATAATTTTTCAGCCTTCCACAGATAGTAGCCCTGGTTAATTAAATTAAATAAATTTATATCTGTTATTTAAATTTATGCAATTATAAATTGTTAATCTCTCATTATATATAGAACAACTCCGTTTTCTGATCACAAGTCGTAATTATTTATGTACAAAGGTCTTTATTATTTATATATGTAGTAATTGACTGTCTTAAAAGCTTCAATAAAAAAAAGAACAGATAGTTCTATGCTGACACAATCGGTTAATAATTTTCAGTCATTATTTTGAAGTTTAAACTAGGCCATAAAAACACAAGAATGTGATACTTTTCTAGTATGACAAAACATTATCAATTTTTGATTCCTTAGTCATTATTAAAAATAAATTTGGAAATTTAATGGAAAGTCATAATTCTATAGTTCTTCATTTTGTATTTAGCATTCCTATGGCATAAACAGACATACAAAAGAAAAAAAGGACGGGTTCCTCTCTTTTCTCCTTGTTTTACCCGCATATCTCACTCGCCATATTGTCAATACTATAATTATATTAACTTCAGAGGTGTATTTATTTTTCATGATAAGTGTATTTATGATTTTGCGTTTCTACAACAGATTGTGTCACATCTTTGGTATTATTTTATATAGCTCTTGTTTATGCTATCAGTCATAGACAAAACGATATATCGTCAATATTTTGGAATTTAAAATGTCGGTAGAAAATAATTTATTTGTGATCCAAAGTCTCTGGTTCAAACTGTTAATCGAGGTATTAGGTGGGTTAATTATACCGTAGGCGTAGATTAGTAAATACATTTGGGGAATGGTGTGGGGAAGATTGGGCATTTCGTATTAACAATGTTTCTAATATGGACGATATATCCATTTGTTTTCATAACCCATGTGGCCTGTTGTCAACCCCCGCGAGTTTTGTATTATGTAGTTAATTATTTTATATGTTCAAAATTGTATTGCCATTTACGAAGACTAATATTATTAAATACGATATTATAATTGTGTATGTAGTGCAGATAATTTGGTTACTTTTTTAATTTTGTTCTCGATAGGTTACCTGAATATTATCGTAATAAATTAATTTATATCAAACATGTGGAATATGTTTATTTTATCTCTTCACCATCAACGTCATTATATCACCCGTTAACTGTCCACTGCCTTCCCCATAAGAGGAGTTCTGCTAGTTGTTGCCACGCTTGGCAGGCGTGTTGGCATTTAGGCTATAGGTATATTTTAAGAAGGATGCTGCTGCTTAATTAATCTCTCTTAGTTGAGGCGACGACATCCACGGGAGAGGAAGGGGTGGCCTATTCTGTCGGGACCACACGCAAATTTTATCTCTTCACTAAAGTTTTAGTATTATTTTTTCGTAATAAATATTTGAATATTTAAAAGTGAAATAAAAAATGGTTTAAATAAACATTCAGGATTTATTAATAATTTATTGAATATATTGGCACTACTGTGTACTTATTTCAATTTGTTTTAAATTAATGAGTTTTATTGAATTAAAACAGGTTTCTGTGTCGAATAAAATAGAACAAAATAAGGTTTTAGAATGAGTACCGCAGTAATATTTACGTAGGTAATTCGATGTAATTTGTGTATAATTAAAATATTATTTCATATTTTTATTTAATACTTTTAATTTGTTAAGTGTGTTAAACTTCATGTTGACAGATTTCTCTATTGCAATGTACTTAGCAGTTACTGAGAAGAATAGCCGTGACACACATACGGGTAGACATGTAATCTTACTATGCCATAATGCGATCTTATAAGAACGTTTCACTTAGACAATATGACAAACAACAAAAATAAATAGTAGTAGTCGTACAAAATAAAATAAACACCAACTTCAGTCGTGGCAAAAATAATAATTTTTATTTTATAACTAAATTACTGCACCGATTTTGATAAAATTGCCATGATACCAATCTATAAGTAAACCTTTTCAGATAAAAGTTTTCCATAGCGGTTTATAAATGTTGGTATTCTGATGTAAAATAAAATACATCCGAACGAAACTCCTTCTTTTTTAAAGTCAATTAAAAAATAGGTATCGAAAAATTGTGTGAGGATATTTAGTGCTTCGAAATCATTTAGTTGTATGTTAACATAAAAATCTTATTTAACGTCGTAAGTTCTCAAATGTAAGATTACATTTACTAAGATTACATTACAAGTACCGCACCAGAAGATGCATTTTGAAATAAAATAGCAAAGTAGATATTAAATATTTATATAAAGTATTTTACGATTTTGTTTCACATAAAAAATATCGTAATGGGTTTAGAATTTTTAAAGATAATAATAATAATTACACAGACACGCATAAAATATAGGAAAATTGAGAATCTCTTACACAACTACCCAAAAAAGAGATTGTAGGCGATTTGTTCTAGTATTAGTGATAGTATGACAGTTAAATCCAAAACTATCTGGGTTCATCATCAGCGACCTCGGTGCTGTCGGTGACTACGTTGTATCTGTACGAGATCTGCTTCACGAGGCCGAGGTTCACGAGGAAGTCCAGCAGTGGACGTCTTCTCACTATACAAGTGTACGACGCGGATCGAATACCTAGAATAATACACATTAATGTATTACGAAGTCTAACATTTTGTTTAGAAATTTGTAATGGCAAACAAGCTGATGTTCCGCCTGATAGGAAGCAAGCGGTAACCGTCGTATAAACATGAACAGCACCATGCTTATTACAGAATATACATGGTAATCAACATTATAGGTTTTTTATATAACTTAAAATGGCAAACAAGCTGACGGCCCACCTGATGGAAAGTGGTAACCGTCGCCTATAGACATGAGCAGTACCATGGGCATAACAGAGTATACTGTTTCGCCCATGATATCCCCTATGCGTTGCCATTCCTGAGGACTTAGGTGTTATTTCTCTGTACCCTGTAAATTCACGCCATATCCTACCCTTCAAACCGAAACACAGCCATGCAAACATAACTGCTTTACAGTTGAAATACGAATGGGACAGAGGTACCCAAGCAAACGACTTTTGTACAAAGTCTCCCTCTGGTAAAATGATTGATAGACGGGGAAAAAGGTTCCTAAGTGACTATGCGCAATTAGATTTGAGACGGCTCCTCGTGTGGTGCAGTAACGATCTTAAAAGCGTTATAGTGAGTTACTGGATACTAATGGTTTAAGATTAGGTGCGAATTCAGCTCTCAAAAAAGGTTTTGGACACAGCCATCCGAAAATTGGCCAAGTGCGACTCGGAGTATGAATTCATGATCGATGTAGTACATTCCTAAATTCCAAAAAAGATATTTCCAATTCTATTTCCAAAAGAGATGTTTACAAAACACATGTCCAAACCAAGATTTTGTACAGTGTATAGTTCAATGTGGGCAAAGTTGTTAGGCGAACACTAGTAAATTAACTTGTGAAATGTTAAAGTAAGGAATTGGATGGATTGGAATATCATCACCCTATCGGCCTCAATGAACCGTGAAAGTGTGTCCACAACTCTATTAGATTTGTGACATGATATGGACAATGCGCCCTAGTAATCACAACGGTGTTTTTGCGCTTGCTTAGGATCATATAGGATTAGAATATATGATTATATAGGGAAATTTGAGGCAGACCAATGTTCAGCAGTGGATGATAGTTGTAATAATGACGATAATGATACAAAGAGTAAAGAAAGCAGACTGATCAAGTCCCCAAGCCTATTGATTGTTAGATATAATGACGATTATAATTTTTAGTGTCTGTTAGTACTCGTAGGTTCACGGTAAGAAGTTTGAACTCCGCTCAGAACAAGTATTTTGTATTAATAAATGTGTCTGTATCTATAAGTTGAGGTATTATAGAATGTCTGGTAGTCGTTACTCAGATATATAACATTCATAATATGAAAGTAATAAGTCGGAACAAAAATAATTGATTAACTTTTTCTGTTATACTGAATTCTTTGAAATGACTTACGATTGGTCTTAGCTAGGGGCTTTGTCACGAGCTGCGGTCCGAACTCGTACAGTAGCTGGAAATCAGCGTGGTTGCCAAAACGGAATCCGAAACCGACGCGTTGATCGTTACCTGTTAGATTATAAGCTATTTTTAGGCACGTAATTATCTTGCAAAAGCAATTATTGTTAAGGACCATGATGATATTTTATATAGGTACCAAATAAGTAGGTATTTTATATTAAAGAACGTTTGCAAATAATTTTTTATTAAATTTAGTGTCTTTTTAAAAATTGTTACCAAGTCTTCAAAAAAAAGTCTTAAATTGCATATATATTATTTGTGTATGTACGACAATATTTTCGCGAGAAATATATTTGATTTTGTGAATCGACTTTAATTACGCTATTTTTTGTATTTGGTGTTGTTTACTTTAATGGTACCAATCTATGTATATTTATTAATTTAGTTAAAATTAAAGTCTCCCGACTGTATTTAACAAGAATTATTGAATTTATTTTACAAATCGTAATCGATATAACATACTAGTTATATACTGCAGCCCCGTCTGCGTGAATCAGTACAAAATATTTTAAGTGCTAAGTTAGGATAAATCCTACCCATGTATCAAATTTATTTCAAATCCGTTCAATAGTTTTTGCGTAAAACAGTAACGGTCCATCCATTTGTACATCATTACCAACTTTTTGCATTTATAATATTAATAAGATATATATTGTGAAAATTGACAATGTTAATATATGTATATTTATATCCATCTCGTACCAAATTTAAGTCGAGGGGAGAATCCATAGATGGCTGCAAATCCAGCTGGGACATCCTCGGGCACCACCAGTATTATACCTTCGGCTAGAAGACCTGTGGAGAAACAGACAATGTAAATATCTTAAGAATGTCATCCACTAACAATGTTACTAAACATTGGCCAACATGAATCCTATGTAAGTACTTGCTGCCATATTGGTCCACACTTTCCTTTCCCATGGGTGTCGTAAGAAGGGTGTTTATGGTGAAGAGATGGGCAGCAACATCCCTCTTAAAACATCATCAAAAACCTGATTGCGGTTGCCAACCTACTTGCCAAGCATGGCGACTACTGGCAAAATTCCCCTTATTGGGAAGGTCTATGTTCAGCAGTGGACAGTCAACGATTGATATAATAGTAAAAAGTACTTATGTGTAGAAAAAATTTAAAGCATTTTCATATGACTGTAAACGAGCAATCATAAAAACATAACGAGGCTCGTAGGAGGCTGATTTTGACAATTGAAATTAGTGCAGTATATATATAGTTATAATTTTTGATAACATTGTCTATTGATTTAAAAAAGCTGTTGATTATAAATAAAAGCAACACTTGTATTATTCCATCAGCAATAGAGTCGCTTAAAAATCAAATTTTGTAACTTAACGTTATGTACAAGCCAATATATACGTTTATATACGTTTGAATTTTAATAAATTAATTAAGAACAACAAAAACGTCAGCTCGAGGCTCTTTTCAGTCGAAAAATTTTCATACTACCATTCACTGGTTTTTGGTGAAAATAAAACAATATCAATAGATTGCAACAAATAAATATTTTTTTTTAATTTAGCAATAAATAAATAAATGCTGATTGAAATGGATACTTACATTCAAAAATAAAAATAATCATCAAAATCACCTTCCGAGCCATTTTGGACAATTCACAGAATATTTTAATTAGGTATAGGTAATTTTAATTATTCATGTACTCATAATGATTTTTTTCACAAAATTACTAACAATACATTTTTAATCGATATATTATAGTTTTGGATAAAAGGTTAAGTTACAGCCAAAGGGCGTTCTAACTATGCCGTGGATTATGATAGAATGCTAAGAACAAAGTATGTCAATACTCCTGTAATTATAATTAATTAGACATTGTTTTCTTAAACGATTCCCACGAGATTATTGGTACAGTCAGTTACAAAAATTCGAAATATATGGAAAAAATAAAATTTTCTTTAAACATATGGTATGCACGAGTATGTGTGTTATTACGTACATATATACAATATATTTATGTAATCATAATAAAACAAGCAGTTAACGAACGAAAATTCGTGTTGAATAGTTGCTACTACTAGACACAGGTGTCTCTCTGTTAGAGGTAGAGATTTACCTATTACCTTTTTTGGGATGAACATGACATGGTATCCTGCCTACGCTATTGGTTTACGCTGACAGTATACTAGCGAGGGATGATAGGTGAGAATAAACTGAGGTCAGATAGTGCATTGTGATTAATTCACGACGATAATCACGATGGTTTCTGATGAACGGTATGGATGTCTTTTTAAATATTGTTAGCAAAGGGGTTGTTATACGTGATTACTAATTATCACTTATCTTCTGCCTTCGGTTAGCCAGAGGCTTGGTTTACGACTTTATATAAAAAATTTTTTTTCTAATATGGGTGTTTTGTACCTTTAGTTGGCTTTTATGATATACCAGGGGAGGATTGTGTGTTAATATGTCTTATTATTAACTTTTACTCCATTATTCACAGGAAGTGCATTTTAACTTTTACTTAATAAAATTTCTTATGAAAATTAGGTATAGAGAAATGAAAAATGGACTATATTACCAAAGGGATTTTTAATTGTACTTTTATTAAATATTTCTAGTTGAATAAATTGTAAGAGTTGAACAAGAAGTAAAATTTATTTAACTACGTCGAAGGAAGGTTACCAAACTGCAAATTATAAAATAGGATTTAAATTCAGACTGACATTTTAAGGGGGGAGACTCATGTAAATGCCTCGAAATCGGTCATTTTTTAATATTTTTTTTTACAGTGAAAAAATAATTTAATTGTTTAGAACTTTTAACACAACTTTATTAAACATTTTAAGACTACAAAAAAAGAATTATTTTTTTTTTTTTTAATTCAAAATGGCGGCTCAGCATGATGTCTTGTAGGCTGCCTCTGACGCGAGGTCCGAAACTGCTTCATTTGTCACTCATCAACCATTGATCTGAAACACAAAAAAAAAAATTATTTTTTTTCAGGACATATAAACGGAAAGGATAAACCTATAAAATTAAAAAGAAAAGGATAAAATCCAATATAAAATCAGCCTTAAAAAAAAGTTACGATTTTGGGCTATTTTTTTGACCCTTTTGACCCCAAAAAAAATAAGTAATCAATCAGAAATACCTGAAGTTTTAGGTTTATCCTTCCGATAGTAATGTAGAGAAAAGCCTCACCAAATTTCAAACAAATCGGTCAATAATTTTTTGAGCTACAACACGAACAGTTTTTCAAAAAGTAGTTTCGAGATAATCGCGTTTAAAGTTTCAGTACAGGAAAATGAGTAGTTTTACTGAATTATTAATTACTTACCGACTAATTTGCAATTCCAGGTCCATATAACAGTCCTTCTTCCTCCTCAAAAAGTTGATTTTCATCTATTTGATGTTGTCTGCGAGCTGAACGAGCATCTTTGGTCTCTGAAAGGCTTTTACGATTCTGTCGGGTTATTCGCTCCTCGTCTGTACTATCCGCAAATATCTTAGCATAAGTGCCAATATTCAGATTCAAAAGGTTCATTATTCTTAATACGGAAGTATAACCTTCATTAAATATCCCTGCAGCAATGTAAGCTGAAATTTCGACTACTTTTAGTCCGGAATGCAGGTGTTTTGGGGATAATCGCCAAACTGTAGCGTTAAAACTTTCGTTCGCGTTCTGCGTATGACCACCAAGGCATCGCTCAAGTAAATCATCTTTGGACAAATCTTGATATATTGGTAAAAGATGCTGTTTTAAATCTTCACCAAGTAATGGAGCTAAATTTTCCTTTCGAGGATCTCGATTTTGAGCAATAGCCTTCTGCCATTTGCACCAGCTATCAACGCCTACAGGGCAGTTATCATGTTGGGGATTTTCTGTAGTGGAAAAAATATGATCATAAGTAGCCATTATGGCTTTTTTCATATTTTCAACACTGTTAACATTTCTCTGAATACTTAAACCATAATATTTTGTTAATTTTTTTACCACTTTATCAGTTAGTTTTCCTCTCCCCGAAAGTTTCTTTTCTTTTCTTACATTTCTAAGTCGAGAACCCATTCTTTTTTCTACATGACCAATACATTCACTCTTCACTACTGGTAACTCATTACCGTAAGGTTCTAAATCTAGAATAGCCTTGAATGTCTTAGAATCTCCGTCACCAATGTAGTTACCATATTTTACTCCGAATTTTTCTTCTGAAGTCGAGAACATTTCTTTCATGGCATCGACTTCCATCTTTCCTGACGAACCTTCGTGATTTTTTTGACACTCATCCTCGTGATATTCAATCCACTTACGGAATTCTTCTGTATGAGTCTTGTTCTTCCAGTAAATACAGCCTTGACAGTAACTACTTTTTGTTTTCAAATCAATAACTTTCCCTGAATAATATCCTATGAGCGTTGCAACACCGTAATTTGATTTGAAACCACGTTTTTTCCAAGTACCATCTCCAGATACTTTTAAAATATTTTTTCTCTTCCTTGCTCGACATTTTTTTCCATCTCTTCTTTCACTGCCTTCTGCGATAGAAATTCAAATGATAATTTCACTGTATTATAAATGTGTTCCACAATGTTAGCGTAACAACTTTTACTCAAACCAGTGCATAGGTCCATCAGGTTACAAAATAAATTTATCCCTTCTCTTCCAACACCCAAAAGTCTCATGATAAACACTATTCTCCGGTTTATTTCAAATCCGTTGTTAATGAAAGGACCTGAATTTATTGTTTTATTACCACATGGACATGTGACAACAATTTTAAAACCAAGACCTCTGGAACTACACTCATTGAATTTTATCTTCTGATTACACACCGAGCACTTCACAATTTCAGACAAAGCTGTAAACACTGTAAAAAATTCAATTATCCTGTACCCGTGTAAAGGATTTGTTATTATATCTTCACTATCACGGGCATGGAGTTTTTTGCCACTGGCACTGTGATCATGGCTTACACTGGCTTCGAATTTTTCACCTTCATTATTAGTGAATTGATTGCCCTGAAACTTTCGTTTCCGGGTGTTATTTCTTGCAATATTCCCACGTGTACCTTTTTTATAATTCGGCATTTTTGCTTTTCAAAATCGACTGAACACGAAGAAATCTCCAGCTAAACTAAATATATTTCTCGACTAACGATTATTCGTGTACTAATGTTACACGTGTGCAGAAATGTAAAAGTATATATATATATATATTTACTAAAAAGGATTCTCGATAGTTGAACAAAAGAAATATTTCCAGGTATTATAATAGAAGGGTCCTTTTCAAGCGCCCCGACTACCTGGCTCGTTACTTGACAATACGTACTTCGGCCCGCTCCACTGTATTAGCTATAACTTTGTAAATATTCGAGATTTTTTTTTTCCGGCTCGTCAGTACACGCTCAACATAGTATACTTTCAGAATATCGAAAAAAAAAAAATCGATTTTTTGAAAATTTTACATGAGTCTCCCCCCTTAAAAGGTTTATATTTATTATTGAATTTAGAGATGTTATGTATAGTTTAAGATAGACACCACTTTGTAGATTTTACAACGCCAAATATATTTAGGTACTTCATTTTCAATACAATATTATGTGTGAAATAAAAATTCAGAGAAATAGAAATACTGTCTTATTATGATGTATATTAAGTACATAGGTAATTGAAATACTAAAACTCTATGTCTATTTTTTATCTCCATGACTGTACGTAAAGCACCTACTTATCAAATCAATGGTGCAATATTGTATTAGTAAATTTTTGTTCTAACTACACAGACGGTTTGTAATCCTTATGAGTGTGACTTGTATCCATAAATAAAACATACTTTTGTAGCATCTTAAATAGTTGCGGATACACGAATTAAAAAAAAACACACACACACATACACGCACAAACACATACATAGACCCACGAAAATAAAAAATAATCATCAAATTGAATATAGAATCGCGCAACATATAGAATAGAAAATTCCCTTTTTGAAGTCTCTCTGACGATAATGGACAGAAATTTGTCGATTACGTGAATAATAACCATATAAATGTAGTAGTAAATTTAATTGAAATATTTAGTACACTTAATAGTCGAGGGATGGACAGCAGCGTCTCTTTTAAAACATCACCAAAGGCTAACTTCGGTTGCTAACCCGCTCGCCAAGCGTAGCAACTACTGGCAAAAATCCCCCTTATGGAGAGGCCTATATTATACGGCTGATATGATGATGATGATGACGATGACTTAGTACAGATTTAGCATAGCCGTCTAATTTTCTCTCAAAATGTATTCACATATATTGATTTCGAGTGCATCAGGTGAGCCGCATGCTCGTTTGCCCCCTGTGTTGTAAAAAAAATAATTCCAATTACTTTACAGTTTAATTTAATTTGAATTAAATAACTGACTTTTATAGATTCGAAAATAATTATTAGCTCATGATTTCTCTAATATTTTTTTTATAATTTCTTTTATAAATATTATGAAGCTGTGATTTTATTTTTTATTTAGTTAATTATACATATAATATTTAAAAAACTACTTTTTTCATAATTTCAATAATATGTATAATTCTTCCCGGACCAAGCCTTGCAGCTTTCTATCTATAGTTGCGCCTATAGGAAAATATATGCACTGTCCCGCTCAGACTACCATAGGTTTCACGAAATAAGAAAGTGGTGGCTCTATGTTATTGTTTTAAAATATAATATAAACCATTTTGAATCATTTAATAGTAACTTCTTGTTATTTTAATAATAAGGTTTAAAATATACAAGCAGCATTGTCTGACATAAGTTACGACAACCTTTCACTTTTCGCGGTGAATGGAAACTCACACATACGTAAAACATACGAGATATTTTAGCACAATGCAATATGTGCCATTATCGAATGGAATAGAGTTGATTGTCAAGAGAAAATGATTTTAGCACTTATTTCGAAAAGATTTTGAATTTTGTACGCATGGACCCTGAGAAATCGAATTGCAAAGAGGTATATTCGATGAATAATAGCTAAGGAATGTATACCTAATTTGAACAAATCGTAAGGTATGAAATTAATCGATTTAGTTTCCCCACTTAGGCCATAATAATTATGTGAGAGTTACGACACTCGTTTGTATATGATACTGTAGTCAGTTTGGCGGTAAAATCGGTGGTTGACGTTCGATTTTATTTTATAAATATTATTTTTTTAATATCATTGATGACAAAGGACGAATGTAAAAGGAGATTGTAATATTGTTTAGTAGTGTTAAGTGTCTGTGCTTTATTCAGTCGTAATTGTGAAATTAATACGCAATGGATGTGAGATTATGTATTTTCCTGTTCCTTGTTTCTTTGGGTGAGTATTATTTTAACAGTTAATTTAAATTTCATACGAATGATTTTATTCGTCTTCATTCAGTGTGCGTGTGTGTGTGTGTGTGTGGTATTTAAAACACATTAATAAAAAAATCATTACTTTTTTTTAAATTATTTTATATAAACATTTAGTTGGTGATATTTGTTGTTTTTAAAACAACAAATATATCATAATTCCCAAAGAGGGTTGACGTCAGGCAGGTGGCCGGTTGTAAAACTAAAAACCAAATCTTTTTTTAATATGGTTAAAATCATATTACGCCGACCCCAAATGATTGGGATAAGGGTAGGAAGATCGTAAAAGGTTATATTCGATAACTAGCTTACACAGTGGCTTTATCCGTGTGAATCAATGTATTAGGTATTTTATGTGCTAAGTTAGGATATAACTTATCTGTGTACTAAATTTCATTCAAATCAGATGTGCAGTTTTTGTGTGATATAGTAGCAAACATTCATTCGTTCATATATCCATCATTACAAACATTTGCATTTATAATATTAATAGAATATATGTGTAGAATATATATGTAGAATATATATGTGTAATAATGACGGATTATTGGAATAAATAATCAAAAAATAAAATCTTATGTAATTTGTAAAACATTTTTTTTCGTTGACCGACACAATTTGAAGTGTACAATAAGTATTTAAAGTTCATACCTATATACAATTTCTTAATTATCAAAGGACATCGAGATATTAAAGCACATACATTGCATAAGTGAACGGCATGTCCGCACTATAGCTTTATTGAGGACAAATTAGTAGTACCTACTTCACATCTTACTTATTAAGTTATCGATTAAATATAGTATCAATTAACATACTTTAATATTATATTATTATTTAGCAATAAGTGAGTATTTCATAATTAAAATAATTAATTCTTGGACAAAATTATAATTAATGTGTTATTAATGACTTTAATATATAATACATTAGGGTAAGTATCTGTTAATTATTATACCTAATGAGCAGAAATAAAACAGAGAGCCGTGTTTTGGTAATTTATGGTTTAAGTTATAAATTTATACGATAGCGTAAGTAATATAAAAAAAAAACAGTTAATAAAAATACTCAATATTTCCCTTTTTTTTTAAATCGGTTGAAAACAGTTCAATTCAAAAATTCAAGACGAATAAAATTAAAGTACCTATAGACATCATAGATAAAGATTTAGCTATTAAGATGGAATGTTTTGCTAATTGTACTGCATCTATATTTCCAAAAAAAAAAAAAACAGTAGAAATAGTATAAGCACAGAAAAAAATATTACAACCTTTATCTGTGGTATCTATCAGGTCATAGAAAGAGTTTGCCACAGGTATTATTCTTAATCTATGTATCAGGTACTTTAGATTCATAGATTAAGGATAGTCCCTGCGGTCCTAACTTTCTATGTTCAAAATATTTAAGATCCATAACCGGCTTTAATCTTTGACCGGCAATTACGAGACGAGTTACGAAAGTTGACAAAGAGATTACGTAAGTAGCCTTCGGTTCTTTGTTTAGTCCTCACTGTATGAATAATTATATTAATCAAACTTGTTTCCTGGGTGTTGATTTATGGCACCATTAATTATGAGAAAGTATACAAAAAACGAGAGAGTAGTAACTCCCTCCCTCCCGGGCAGAAGCCTATATTTAGCAGTGGACAGTTGATAGCTGATGTGATGATGTGAGAGTGAAACATCTGAGAGCAATAGATTGTTAAAAATCAACATATATTCGTATGTACAAAGGGAATTTTATAAATTTACAGTATTAGTCGTTATATCGTTAAAAAATAAATACAAGTTTTTAAAATAATATGTTAGAAGTTTTTGATTGACACTATGTCGATTTCTAAATGTAGGTAGCTATATCTAGGAAATTTCTAGAGTTCACATACAGAAAGTACTATCAACGGTTTATTAGTCTTATTTGTATTAGGCATTTATATATATTTTTAATGGATGACAATGAAATGGTAAACCCCGCCCGTGCTAACGGTATACACTGACAGGGTACCAGTAAGAGATAAGTGAAGATGAAAAGATAGATCAGTTAGCCTATCGTGATGAAATTAGAATTCAGCATTATAAATTAGAATTCACCTAGAATTCAGCACGATGGTTTTCAGGGGGACCACGTGGAGTGCGACTTAGTTGGGTATATTGCTAGCAATTGGGCCCTTAGTCGCCAATACACCCGCTCCCCCTACCCCCCCTCCCGATAACTATATTTGTATTACAAAAAAGTATTTTATTTAAAAAAAAGGACCATATAGAGTTCATGTATGTACGTATGTGCGTGTACTTGTCCTATCAAAACTTTTAACTGCCTGAACAAATAAGAATGCATGGGATATTGTAAGAATCCTTACATCACCCCAAGTGATATTAGCTATGTTTTTGAATATTTAATACGACGGGTGTACGATGCCATTAAAAAGTATAAAAAATAAGTTTATTAAAATTTGTATTTAAGTGTTTTTTTTTAAGATCTAGGTAAGTAGTTTATAATGCAAAGAGAAAATATTTTCAATATTTAACTCCTAATATAGAAGTATTACCAGTTAAATATTAAAATAGTTTTTTTCGCATTAAAGTGAGTACTAGTCTTATGGTATGTATTAGGCTTGTGAGAGTTAACAATACCACATAAAGTATCAGATTATTGGGCGTTTCATAATCTCACTACTGTATTATACAATTGCGTTATACTCGTAAGTGAATCATTATTAGAGTCTAGACAACATAACTAGTTGTTAATACAAATAGATCTTTATTCCTATTGATATGAGATACTAATTTTGCGACTGAAATTAAAACTGAAGAGTATTTGAAAATGAAAATTTATCTAATTATATTATAGGAATACAGCTAGGATACAATAGTTTTTTTGAGCGATAATGTAAATGGCTTCGATGTTATTAGCATAAGGCCTACTATGAGAGTCACAGTTATATCAATTGTGTTATATAAGGAGTGCTAGTTATATTCCGCGGCTTAGCCAGTTCTCGTATCGTTATGGTGAATAGCCTAACTTTCTTCGAAAAATGAGCAGTCAAATGTAAAATGAATTTTTCAAATCCGACTGCTAGTTGCGGCAGTACGCGGTATTAGCGCGTATCAAAAAAATCGTTTTATTATAATAGTTTAAATATTATACTGTCAGACATAAATTCATACCACTACATTAACATAATAATCATACTCGTAGTTAGTCTACTGCAGTCCACCTCTGCACATAGGTCTCTCTCAAGGCTCGCTACTGAGCTAAGATCTTATTAGTTTTTCTGGAAACTTATAAAATATTATTAGATAGATAGATAGATACTCTTTATTGTTTCCTTCAAAAGATTACAATAGTAAACTTATTATAAATGTAAACAATTACAAGAAATAATATTAATACATCGATAGGTTCATAGATTGACACATATATTTTACACTGCAGTAAATCACTCGTGACCGTCGTATGTACTGTCATATTTTACTTCTGTTACATGTGTGACAACATATATTTTTTGTTTTGATGCATTACGAATGAAAGTGACAGCGATTCGACGTAAATATATACGAGTAGATATACTACACAGTAGGTAATATAAGTTTTAACTATTTTTATGTTTTCACTGCACAGTAGTTTTCTTACATAATCTATTGATTTATCATTATAAGAGTTATTATGTTTTCAACTTTTAAAAATTATAAGCAACGATTTGGTAAACAAGATGTTGCTATTTATTATTATACAGATACTAGTTTTTATCCGTGTCTTCGTCCGTGTGACCGGGATAAAAGGTAGTTTATATTGTTTTTTATTCCTTATAGTACGTTATACACGTATATTTGCATAATCGGAATACGTTGGAATAAATACTAGGCTATACCCTTCTTTATCTTTCGTTATCTCAAATAATACATGTATATCAAATTTCATAGTGATTTGTTAAGCGGATAAGGTGCAATAAAGCAATAAACAAACTCACTTTTACATTTATATAATTAGTGAGGATATACTCCTGTATATCTCGATATCTTATTTATTATTGAGGTATTAATCTATACTTAATTACTGTTTTTGTTTACTATGACCTCGACTATGCACCGAATCTTGCTTCTGCAGGCATTTGTAATACCATCATATTTTTTTTATACAACTTAGAATGGCAAACAAGCTGACGGCCCACCTGATGGAAAGTGGTAACCGTCGCCTATAGACATGAGCAGTAACATGGACATAATAGAGTATACTGTTTCGCCCATGATACCCCCCATGCGTTGCCATTCCTGAGGACTTAGGTGTTATTCCTCCGTACCCAGTAAATTCACGCCATATCCCACCCTTCAAACAGAAACGCAGCCATGCAAACACAACTGCTTTACGGTTGGAACACGATTGGGACAGAGGTACCTAAAAATCATATAAAAATATTATATATACGCAATCTTTTGGAGCAAACAATATTATAATATCTATATATTTATATATATTTCCATGTCAAATGAAGTAAGTGGTATATTGTCTATGGCGTAACGTATAAACAAAACTTTCCCATTTATATTATTATTGAGTTTTACTATTTTACCCTCATAACCAGGATATGTCTATAATTGGGTTAAAAAATAGTCTATTCTCTTTTTTTCATACACATATGTGTATACCTTACAATGTTTGGTTATGGCATTAATGGACAACAAACAAATTCACTTTTACATTTATAATATTATAAGGATTAAATAAAAACTAAGGATTATAATGTATGGCAGGTTAAATATATACTTATTTGGAGATCTGTGTCGTATGGTTCGTGGAGGCTTTAATTGCTCAACATGTAACACATGTACCTATTCGTTTGAGGACGTATTGCGTCAACTTAGATCAGAGTTCATGACGACAGTGGCGACTTTAAGTATTTTTAAAGATACGTTTGTATATTAATTCTTACATAATACAAATTAGAAAGTATTTCTCTTTTAATGTTTGTAACATTTCTCAGCAAATTAGACAAACAGTTTTCTTAAGAAACTTCATTTTTTTTTAATGGATGATAATGGAATGGTGACACCGCTTACGCTATAACACATACCCTGGCGGTGCACCAGTGAGGGATGACAGGTGAAACTGAAAAGATAGGTCAATTAGCCCATCGTGATGAATACACCTGGAATTTAGCATGATTGTTTCAAGGGGAGACCATCCGTGGATAGGATATTTTGCTAGCAATAGCAATGGTAGTTCGCATTATTAACAATTCTTTCCCCCCAAGAATTAACATTAGAAGAGAAGAACAATTACTAGAAATAGATTATAGATTATAGTATTTGGCATTATTATTGTTAAAAGCGGCTTCTTCCATTTAACCTTTGGACAGAGAGCAGTAATCTTAAATGGATGGGTACCTAGATATCATATTTTGTAATTTATATTAATTTTATTTATTTAACAATGAAATATGGCATAAAAGGCGGTCTTTATGTTATAGACATTGATTAGGATCAATTCTAAGTAAGCCTTAGAATTTCTCTAAATTAATCTGTAAATATAAAATTTGATGTCTTAGCGGAATTTTTATTGTAAGGACCAATATGAACTAATTTTCGAATTGGTTTGAGTCAAAATTATTAAAATGTAAATTATATAGAGAATGAATGAGTATATTTTATTTGCATTATACAATATAGTGGAAAAACAAGACAATTAATAAATATAACGATACAGTTGTATAAGTACAGTAAGGTAGTCTTATTGCTGAGAGCAATCTTTTCAAGACAACCTTAGGGTAATGGACTAATTGTTGTACAAGTAGGTACTGTATAATTAAGAAAATTAATAGAATAAAACATTAAGGAAAATAATTATAAGTATTAAGTATATGTAATATATAATAAATAGTGGTCCACAAAACAGTAACTTCGCGAAATTTTTCTTCATCATTGTTATCATCATCTTTCTACTTTTAGCCCAATTATTATTTGGGATCGGCGTAATATGATTTTATCCATAGACATTAAAGTAAATTATTAAGAAAACAGATTTTGTTTTTTAATTTAGAGAAATGGGACGTCAGAACTGGCCCCATTATCTACCAAGCATAGCTTTTTATTGTATGTTTTTTTTGTTTCAGTATCGAGTTCAGTGATCATACCAGAGGAGCTTCCATCCTTACTGTCAGTCGCTTACTCAAATATACCACCCATAAAGAAAGGTAAATTATTTCTAATTGAATTTTGTTATAGTAAACTCTGTTGATAATGAATCCTGTAGGGCAGCTACCCAACGTTAAATAAGAAACTTCTATTATAAATAGAAAAGACAGGGGACTAGAGAGCAAATACTGTAAAGATCAACCAAGAATGATTTCTACTTCTATTGAAAACCTAGCCTCTAGCGGATGGTTTCGCAAATTCAGATATTCATACGAACTTATCGAAATAATAATCGATCCACACGTGAATCCTAATTATGGATTCAAATGAAATGAGGTGAAATAAACATGAATGCATTCGTTATATAAATTTACATATATACAATTTACAGTAGTTACTCTGATCAAATATTGCTTCAAATATTGTATACCACATTACAAATACATTATATACTGCTTTGTGAATTGACTACACAACATGGAGTCACGATTTTCAGCACATGAGGAAATTAATGTAAAGAAACTAACGCTTAGGTTATGGAATGAGCTTTCTATAGAGGTTTTTTTCAAGAGACTACAACATGAGGTTTTTTTAAAAAAGAGGTGAAGAGGTTTCTTCAGGCTAGGCAACGCGCGCGTTATGCCCCTAGTACTGCAGGTGTTCATAAGCTATGGTAATCGCTTACCATCAGTTGGGTCGCATGATTGTTTGCCACCTCAGTAGTATAAAAAAGAGAGGAAGAGATATGTATGATTTATTTGATACTTTCGTTTCATAGTAAGAGTTTATTTTAGTCACTCATACGAATGCCTTAGACGTATAAGGTTTCATTCATAAATAAGAACCAGTAGAAGTTCTAATAATCTTATTACATATATCACAGGAATACGACGCTCCAAAGTCTTATTTGGCTGCGGTGTAATATAAGGACACTACCAGCGTATCGTCACTGATGGCAGATTATAAAAGTCTGTTCTAAATAGATGTAGTATTTTTATTAATGATATTACTTCTTTGTACTATTTCAGGCACTGATTCTCGTGTCGGGTTTGGTTTCGCTTTTGGAAATCACGCTGATTTTCAAGTTGTTTTTGAGTTGGGACCGCAGACAACGACGCAGAATTTAAGTAAGTTTTTAACTAATTCAAGAGTAATCTGTTAAAAAGAAAATATGGTTTATTGGTAATAATTATTATAAATTACAATAATTATTATAATAATAATAAATGCTACACACTAAGATCTATAGATTGGTCCTCAAACTAGGATACCCTGTGTTAGGAGAAAACAGACGGCGAATACTACTGAGAAGCACAATTCAAAATACCTATAATCCGTGCCATTTTAGAAAAGTTCGTTTCCTAAGTTGTTAGATTGTGAATTGAACTCAGGAATTTATTTATGCAATATATATATATACATATATATATATATATATATATATATATATATATATATATTCTATGTCATATAGTCCCAGCATAAAATAGACCATCCCTTCCTTTTTCGTGGGTATAGTAAAAGGCGATTAAGGATGGACGAGGGATGGGCAGTAGCGTCCCTATTAAAATACTTCCAAAGTCTAAGTGCGGTTGCCAATCCACCTGTCAAGCGTGGCAACTACTGGCAAATACCCCAGAAGGGGGAAGTTCAGCAGTGGACAGTTAAAGGCTGATATGATGAATATGCCCACTACTACGTCATGGAAGTCGTAATTTTGTTGCTAAAATGCAAAGATGTCCGTTATTATAAGGTATAATTGTTGTAAAATAAATTACTAAAGGACTGATATAGATAACGATAATTATTGGGAATCTATTTTGATAATATCATGACATATAAAAAATTAAATGCAATAAAAATAAAACATTAATTTGGATCATATAAAACTTTTCTTCTACTTACAGCAAAAAACGTAAAGGATTAGAAAGTTAGACACGAGACTTTATATTTTTATTTCAGTCAGAAAATTTACTTCTATTTTTCGTATACAAGAAAATTTTAAAATTGGATTTTAAATGTATATTATTATTTTACAGCGGGCCAGGGCTTTTCATCTAGCAACACAAAACGGCAAGCACCCTCACCGCCTCCGTCTAAAATTAACAAGAACAGAGAAAAGGTAACTTCTATGCTCAGTTTCGCTTTTGCTGTTGCAAGAAAAAAACGACCTACATCTACCTGATCTATATCTCAATCTATTCAAAATTAAACTCAAAATATGCTCTTAACCCGTGTGCTCCCGGCATAGAATGGGCCATCCTTTCCTTTCCGTGGGTATCGTAAGAGCCGACTAAGGGGTTGCGAGGGATGGAACATCTCTAAAGCCTTACTGCGGTTGCCCATTCGCCTGCCAAGTCTGGCGACTATTGGCAAAGCCCCCAGGGGAGGCTTATGTTCAGCAGTGGAGAGTTAAAGGCTGACATGATGATGATAACTGTGTGTTTAATAAGTATCAACAAGTAGACTTATTCCATTCTACTAATGAAGAGTTTTACAGGATGGCAACGTAGTTTATCTATGGCGTTAATTAATTAATTAATGTAAAATTTAATGCAATCTATGTGAAATAATTTTTATAAGGCCTTGTCATGCGAATTGGTAAAAGCTATAATGCTTAACAAGCTGTTTTGTAAATAAATACACTCCTCGCAAAAATTAAGGGAACATAAAATTTTTTGAAATTTTTGGGTGATTTTCAACAGGCTGTATTTCAATGAAAAATAATCGTATAGGAAATTTAAAAAAAGGGTTTTGAAGCTTGAAAACTCTAGTTTTCAGATTTTTTGGTGAAAAAATTTTTTGAGCTCCGGTTTCCATGCAATTCTTAAACAAAGCTGAAAATAATTTTTTTCTAAATTTTCTAGGTTTCGTTTTTCACTCTATGGGCATGGAAAAATTTTTTCGAGCTACTCCATTGTATAGGTCTCTTAGCGTGTTTATTCAGCTTCAAAAATCGCTTTGGATGGCTCAATTACGACCATTTGTCTCCGAGATATCGAACTTTGAATGCAAAAGCATCCTTTTCCATTCAACTGCTAATATCTCTGGAACTACTGATCGCAAAGCAAGCAAAAATTTTTCTTAAAAATTTTCTTGCTTTTTTTCGATTTTTTTTTGATAATGAATTTTTAAAAAACAAAAAATTGAGTAAAAAGTGAAAAACAAATGAAATTATTGATTTTTGAATGGATTAGGGTGAGTTTAAGGGACAAAAACCTTGTTCCCTTATTTTTTCCAAAATTTCAATCAATTGGTCCGGGAAAAACCGTTGAACCGATCGCTCCAGGGATTTAGGGGGTTCTTTAAGGAACAATAGACTGTAAAATTTTCCTCAAACCTTAGCTTTCCCGCCCATATTAGCGAAGATACAGCCAAGTAACCAAAAAAGGAGAAAAAGTCACTTTTTTCCACTTTTTTCAATTCAATGTTAGAGGTGGAAAAAAATTTTTTCTTCACTAACTCTTGACTGTGCTTAATTGGAAATTTTATGCAGATAAAGAAACTCGACGCCCGCTTGCTGTGCGACCAGTAGTTCCAGAGATATTAGCAGTTGAATGGAAAAGGATGCTTTTGCATTCAAAGTTCGATATCTCGGAGACAAATGGTCGTAATTGAGCCATCCAAAGCGATTTTTGAAGCTGAATAAACACGCTAAGAGACCTATACAATGGAGTAGCTCGAAAAAATTTTTCCATGCCCATAGAGTGAAAAACGAAACCTAGAAAATTTAGAAAAAAATTATTTTCAGCTTTGTTTAAGAATTGCATGAAAACCGGAGCTCAAAAAATTTTTTTCCCAAAAAATCTGAAAACTAGAGTTTTCAAGCTTCAAAACCCTTTTTTTAAATTTCCTGTACGATTATTTTTCACTGAAATACAGCCTGTTGAAAATCACCCAGAAATTTCAAAAAATTTTATGTTCCCTTAATTTTTGCGAGGAGTGTATATAAAGTACCCATTTTAAAAATTCTCTTACTTATGAAAAGCTACATTATCAGCGAGTAACATAGGATATGTATATTAATTTTGAAAATTCTATGTACCTGTCCGAAGCCGGGCCAGATTTTAATAAATAAATGTATTTTGCAGTCAGATGGAGGCAAATATCTTCAGACTTGGGCGCAGAAGATGAAACATCCATCAAAAGTAAACAAGGAGACGTCGAGACCAGGCGAGGTGCCGAACTTGGAAGATTCCATGGTTGAGTTGGTGAAGAACGAAAAAGGAGAGTACGAAATTCATCAGCCAAGGCCTGGGAATCTACCACAAAAAGTTTTAGAGGATTTAAAAAGGTATCTATATATCTTTTAGTCATAAAAATTAAAATCTAAGGACCTACTTAAATTATTAGTTTAATGCTTGAATAAAATTAAACAAACTCACTTTCACATTTATAATATTAGTAATAATACATATATTACAATACTACATACAGGTTAATTTGACTATCGATAATTAAATACTATAAAATCACTTTAATATTAAATACTGCCACCTATATGTATTAGTGACAAAGTATTATTGATTGACATTTTTACGTTCCAACATCTCTCACAGATGTCGCTATAAAGTGACTTCAGATTGTCTTATACATTTTTAGAAGGTGGCGCTGTAAGCCTTCTAAAATTGAATTTAAAGTTTATTTAGATTAGTAGGAATGCGTTTGTAAGTTTCTGATATTTGTAACGCTGAAATTTAATAATAAGTGAAATTGTTCTTTACAATTAATAAATCTTTTATTTTTAGACTTTACGGACAGAAAAAGGAAGAAGCCATAAAGTTGAGAGAAACAAAGAGGAGCAAAGAGGAAATTAAGAAGATAACAGATGATCTGTCTAATGTTGATTTAGATTGAGGATTTATGTATTATTTTTGTAAAAATAAAATATAAAGTAAAATTTTTGTATTATTTGGAATAGGTAATATATTCAGCGCATATAGCTTATACACATATGGGGTAAATTTAGAAGACAGAAAGAAAAAATATTTTAACTAAAATGTTAGTTTGAAACCCAAATCTAACACACCGAATTAACAGGGTCTAAGACTACAAAAATTATTCTTGTAATCATCAAAGTATTAGCCTACGAATTTGCGTAAATATAGCCAAGTTATGACTCTGTTGGTTAGATTGTAATAGAAAAATGTTGGGGAAAAGGGTATGTTAGTAATGGGGTCTGACAGTACCCTATTAGGTTGATCTCTACGTGGTTCCCCCTGGAAGCCATCGTGGTTAAGTTGGGTTAATTGACCTTCTTTCATCTTTACTTATTATGTGTCACTGGTGCACCGCCAGCGTACCAATAGCGCAGGCGGGGTTAACTATCTATTCTCATCTATTAAATAAAAATTGGAAAACGGTACATTTTGGAAACTTAAAAATAATAATACTACGGAACTTTAATAATGCATGCACGATGCGCACATGTCTTTTACATTTAAATTGGTAATCAGTCGTGGGACACGCTGATTAATTTATAAAATTACTGGCATTAGTAGACACTTTTTACATTTCTTTCTCTGTCCATATCAGTGATCTTGAGATCGCCTCGGTGTTTCTTGCCTGTGATCTGAACAATGGAAATTTATTTAAACAACGTAGGTATAATGAATTTAATGAAAATTTAAATAAATTTAATAGATAATAATCACGTTATGTATGGATACAGAATTAGTTTAATCCACTGTTATTTTGATTTTATTGCATATAATAAAATATATACATACGCTGTGTGGTCCGAGTATGGAATGGGCTCCTCCTTTCCCGTGGGCGTCGTAAATTTAATGGAAGAGATGGACAGCAGCGTTCCTCTTAAAACATCACCAAAAGCATAACTGCAGTTGCTAAGCTGGCTGCCAAGCCTGGTAACTACTGGCAACAGTAGTAGTACCAGTTAGTAGTAGTACTACTTCTCTCACGGAGAGGCCTGGTAGTGTACAGTTAACTGCTGACCTGATGACGATGATTTGATACATTAGTATTAAGCTATTAAGCAGTATCAAATAATCACAATGCGTATACTTGATAAATACATATATACTTTACGAAAAGCAAAAACTGTGAGTTTGTTGTTGAACGAATTAAAAAAAATCGTGTTAATTTAAATTTTTAATTATGTTATTTTAGTGATGGAAACAAACCATACTTGTGTATTCCTTGTATACTGTTATGTATAGTGATTATCTATATTAATATTAAAAGAGGAAAGATTTGACTGTTTGTTGGTAACGGATAAACTTTAAAGCTACTTAACCGATTTTAAAAATTCTTACACCTGTAGAAAGCTTTATTATCAGCAAGAAACATACATATATATATTGTTTTCGAAAAATCTGTTTTTCCGCACGAAGCCGGTTCTGTTATAATGTCTTTTACGAACGATAAAGAATAAACAATATATCAAATTATTTCATATGACGTCGTTGGACTTTTTGCTATTTTGAATTCTAATATAATGTCTCATCCTCAATTTTTAGCAATTACACGCATTATACTATTATTTCAGCCAATGACTGTCCACTGCTGAACATAAGCCTTCCACATAAGGGGAGTTTTGCCAGTAGATGCCACACTTGGCAGGCGGGTTGATAACCGCAGATAGGCTTTTAGAGATGTTTTACGCTACTGCCCAACCCTCGCTTTCCCTTAGTCGCATGGGAAAGGAAGGAGTAGCCCATTCTATGCTGGAGCTCGCACGGCATGCACATGCATACTAAGGGTAGCAAAATGAAACAAGATAATTCTAATCGACAAACCAATGATATGGATTTCCGCAAAATAACATCTAGGTCTTTAAAATAAATATTCATAAATTATTGGGCTAATTGTGGCCATATTGAGTTCTATAACAGTAGAAACTAAGTAAGTAAAATTTAAAAATATTGATCCATAATTAGCAAAAATTAAAAGGATTAAAGAGCTGAGTTTAATTGAAAACTTCTTTAAAGTCAGTTCCACATTTTTACTATCAATATATAGTTATTTGAATATAATTATATGACGTTCTTGATGATTTATATATCGCTTTATATTTTAATGGTCGCGGGTTCGAGTCCTTTATATTAATTTACGAGTATTAAATATTGATCTCAGTGTTTTTTACATATAACATGTACATGGGTAAAAAAAGTATTGAAATATTTTCTATCGGTTGTCCAGTTATTATGTCCAAATTTGCAGCTCAATAACTGCTAAATTATAGAAATTTTTTACAGGGCATGACGTGTTTCCGATACTGAGTAAACATATTTATTCCTTTTTCGAAGAACCCCATGCTGTAGTCTTTTGGAAAAACCTCAACAGGGAACTCATTCCATAACCTGAGCGTTCGTGGGAAGAAACATCTTTGACACCGCACTGTATGCGACCACCTAGGTTCTAAGGTATGAGGGAATGTGGGAAGTGGTAACCACCTGATGAAAAGTGGTAACCGTCACCTATAGACATGAGCAGTACCATGGACATAACAGAGTATACTGTTTCGCCTGTGATACTCCCCATGCGTTGCTTTTCCTGAGGACTCAGGTGTTATTTCTCCGTACTCAGTAAATTCACGCCATATCCAACCCTTCAAACCGAAACTCAGCCATGCAAACACAACTGCTTTACAGTTGAAACACGAATGGGACAGAGGTACCCAAGCAATCGACTTTTGTACAAAGTCTCCCTCTGGTAAAAGCAGTAGAATATATATAGTGAGGTAAAATCTCTTCTAAGAATAGTTTCTAAAATAATTTTCATACATAACATTAGAAATCAAACACAAGTAAACCCACGGTCATAATTAGTCACTTAAAAATCATATTACTTCTATCCTTTTTATTAAACACGACAATGCATTTTAAAAATGTCTTTCCATTTTGAAATAGATTTAGTTCTATACCGTGATAGTCAATGGTGGGGAATCCATCATAACAGTTAATACGGACAAATAGACGGACGGACAAACAGTTTTTATATATGTATCAGCTTGTTATAGTTGTACAAAACAACGAGTCGGCGCTTAAGACGTCGTATGAGCACTTACGGCCAATTTATTAAAAGATCAGACGGTTGGTGCAAGGCATGAGCTGATTGCGATTTTTCCTACAATATAAAAACAAAAATGAATACATCGACAAAGAGACTGATTTTATATTCACAAGAATAGTTAAAGATATATTATTATTAGTAAGAGACTGATATATTACAGTTACTATGTACGAGTTGGAATATTTTGCCGACAGATTTGTGAGCACAAAATGAAATAAGAAGCTTATTTATATTTTAAATTCAATATATTGCTGGTGTAAGTAGAAGATTTGTTTGTACAATTGTAATGAAATGTAAAAAAATATACTTATAATAAGATTATATATTATATGTAGAAAAATGTTATAATTATAGAATTATAATAAAATAAAATGTTAAAATAAAATGTTATTATCCTTCGATCCTATTCAGGTTTATGAAAGAGGACTAATTACAATTTAGATTTACTTTACTATTAAAAATTATGTAGATTTTTTTAAAGGCACGCACTTTTTTGTATAAAATACAGTTTCCTTACCGCTTGCGCTTATCGCTTGTGTGCACACCGGCGTTACACACAATAGTTTTATTTTGAACGTACGTTGGGAATCGAACCCGCGCTAAGCCGCTTACTCTTAATAGACATATCGCGGTGCTCTGATGGCATCTGACGAGTATATCGTATCCTTAGTGTTATGGATAAAACTAGCTCTACACGCGGCTTCGTTTGTGTGAAGTTAATTATGACGTCAGTTTATACCATATCTACGAAAATTAACATATTAACCTCCCACTGCTGGGCATGGGTCTTTCGCTATAAGAGAAGGATATTATCCTATTTTTAGGCATTATGCGTATTCTAAGAAGTTCCTTACATGGTTTCACGTAATAAAGGATATCCTAGCTTGAGGAATAATCGATAGGTTTTCATAAAGTCTTACACATTTATTTATTTATTAAACTTTAACACACCTAGAAAGTGTAAATGGAGGACTCAACACGACATGGCGTTATCTACCAGTTGACCGTAGACGGGAATAACAGAAAATATAATTGACGGTGCAACGTGATTAACAAATAAATAGAAATAAAAACAATATTAAGAATAAATAGTAATATATAAATCATATACATAGCATATAATATTCTTATATTATTTTTTATTATACATACATATATATTTTACGTTATAAATGTCTGATGAAAAACAAAGCATTAAACATTTTGTTTTTTGGATGATAATGGGTAGCCTTGTCTGCGCTAACGGTATACGTTGTTGGGGCATTAGTGAGGGATGATAGGTTAAAATGAAAAGGCAGATCAGTTAGCCCACCGTGATGAATACACCTGAAATTCAGCACGATAGTTTCTGGAAGGACCACGTGGAGGTCGATCAAACAGGGTATATTGCTAGCAATGTCACTTTGGACACTTCTGTCTCAGTCGTAATTATACTGTGGAACAGATATTATCTACTATGTTTCAGTTTGAAGGCTATATAGCAGTCAAAATTATGTGATATGAAGGTATAACACTATACTAGCCTTAAGAATGGCAACGCATGAAGGTAACCATCGGTATCGCAATATGAGATTATGTTGCAGATTTTTACTATAGGCAGTCAGTTTTATAAGGTAGAAAGTCATCTTTTTATCTATTTTCAGTTGCATAAAAAAATATGGTCTATTTATTTATTTAATATTTATGAAAAAAATGTTTGATACAAAAGGCGGATTTAGTGCTGTAAAGCATTCTATCACGTCAACCTTTAGGAAAACAGAAATGTAATCGTGTATAATTTGGTTTTAATTTTGATTTACAGCTTTACTTCACAAGATATTGCTGGTAAAAGATATTATATTTTATTCAGCGCCTAATTGA